TTTCTTTCTACATTTATTACAAACAGCTTATTGTATTCTCTGTAATATGCTTTTAGGTGCGTATGTTGGCTGACACTACAGGCCAATTCACAGATGCTTTAGAATTAAGTGTAGATTTACCAGTATTGGGTGGGAAAAGAAGTAAACGCTATTCAATGGTTCTTGAAGATGGTGTCGTCAAAGAATTAAATATTGAACCTGATAATACTGGTCTTTCTTGTTCCTTAGCAGACAATATTAAAGTGTAAAAAGAATATGCACTATTCACTAGATATGTAGCAAGTTTGTTACTTAGGAACGGACCTACTTCAATTTATTGATTGTCACACTAAAAATTTCTTACACGTTCGGACAAAACAATTTTTCGTTATGTAAAATTATAAATGATTCTTGAAACACTCTAATAAATAAATAAGATGAATTAAGCTTGAACAATCGTCTTTTTGTACATACTTAGCACCCAGCTTGAACATAATGAAATATGTTCAATAACAAAAAATGTTTTTTAAATACAATTTGATTCCTTTCGTCAACATCTACCATTCGTTTATCGGACCCATGTCTTTAGTGGGCATACCGCCTTCTGCACACGAATTCTCGTCGTATGTAGACTTTATGTAACCAGTAAAATGTAGAACTCCGTTCTTCTCCACCAGTCCAGTAACGAAAAAACAAGTGTCCATTTCTATCGTAAACACAGAAGTGTGTCAGCGCTTTCGTCGCTCTCGCCGACCATCTTCTTCCCTAGTGCAGAGAAACAATCTAGCACCTGTCAATGCAATGAATTCATTCACGGCACCGTTTAGATGGCCTGGATACATTTTTAAGTCGATGCTCGACAATTTTTGCTGACAATATTCACATTTCTGTTGAACATTGCTAGACTTCCAACACAATACCCCAGATTTCTCTACATTCGTCTTTTTAAATACATTATTCTCCGATCCGTCAATCGAATCTGATTGCCTTTCTTTCGATTCTAATGAAGATCTACTGTCATATGTTGTTTCATCGTTTGATAACAAAAGTATCTTTATTTCTAATTCATCGGTTTCCTTGTTCTTTCTCTGTGTAGTTTTCCTTGGCTGCCTCTTTCGCTTTCATCATTGAATTATAGTTTATATATTTTGTTAATACACTGAGTATCTATCATTTTATTTCCTTATCTCTTGAATCAACTGTGCATTTGTTTCCTTATTGGATTTTAATGTGAATAATAATATAATTCTTTTAAAATCGTCGTGTCTTTTATTCTGGAAATATATTTACACTGATACAAAGTACATTAAGTATTTAAAAAGAAAGCAAATTATCAATTACAAAAAAGTAGCAAATGCAATAAGTTGATTGTCATTTGTCGTGCTACTTTTCTTTACGTTGACTGGTTAAACTGTCATGCATGCTTGTTACAACATTCTCCATTAATTCCGGAATGACGACACCGTTGACATCGATAAAATTTGCAACTGACTTTGTGACACAAGTTTCATTCAAATTCCCTGTTGATGTACTTTTAACAGAGAGTACAAGATTATACTTATCATCATGTTTCTTCATATATGAACTTGCTTCCCACACAAGATCAGGGTTGAAACCTGCTGGATCTCTGAAATGTACAGAACACAATATTCAAAAGTTATTTCACAGTACATACAATAAATATATCATTTATAATTAAAGTTTACCTTTGAATAGCTACAACAAATATCCCCTTTTCTTTGTATGTTGTATATAATGTCAAAAGACTCATCAAAAAGAAGTACAAACATACACAAGAGACTAAAACAGATTTAGATGCTGGGAATGGATAAAAATGATCAGAGAGCAGTGCAACAACTGCAACTATTACAATAACTCCAGACAGGGCTAATTTTCCATCCAACAGAGCAAAGTTCTCTATGTAATTGTATTTCTTTGTAAGAACATCTTTGACAGCATCATCTAACGCATTTTTCACGGCAGAACCATCCCATTTATTAACTTTGATTACCTAAAACAATAAATTTAGTTTCCATTTAGGTACTTACAGGAAAGACTTTCAAAGAGTATATTGTCCACAGACTCGTGTTGATAGCCGGCAAGAAGTTTATTTCGAATATTCATAAACATATAAATTCATAAACAAATAAATTTATGAATTGAAGAAATATACATCGTCTTATTAAAGAAATGAATTAAGAACATGTAAAGCATTAAAAAATTACAATCTTTATGCTACCAAAAGTGACATACGTGGTGCGTTTAGACATTTAACGCTGAAGATACATAGCGATGTATATTTCGCATCCAGGCTGAAAACCTATTTATAAATAATTTACTAAGCATTCATACATTCAAATAGTGCAATTAAACTTACATGATTTTCCGTATTTTTATCTGTAACCATCTTAACCACAATTTTACAACACAAACAAACAGCACCAACACTATCGTCGTCGACCGTCGTACTTACTTGGTCGTACTGGTTGCCAGAAAAGCGCACGACGCTTCCCTCACCATGGTCCCCTACCTACGTACTATCGCTGCTAGGTCGACTACCGTGGCTGAGTTACGTGATGTGCGGGACGCTATGAATAAGAGCAGAACAGTTTGCTATTATCGCAGATGAATAAGAAACTTTTACAAATTTCCATTTCCAATATTCATGAAATATAAGAATAAAATTATGAAAATAACAACAAGGAGGCTGAATATTGCAGTATGAAAATATTTCTTGTACAATTTCGCAGTATTGAAGAGAAATGCTTGAAATTTTTAAATTTAAAAATAAATCCGGACTTCTATTGAAATCNCACTATAACAACTCTATTTTCATTACGAAATAATGATACGGATTGTTAAAAATATAAAAGAGGGCTAATCTAAATGTTCTATCTCTAATTTATCTTATCATTCTACGTCAATCACAAAGAAAATCGCACGTACAATTAAGAGCATCAGTCTGACTCTTCATAAAACTTTTCAATGCTTAATAATCAATAGTAGAGATTTACTTTCATTTTTCTCATCATAATTAAAGAATACTCTTCAAATATTCGCAGAACGCACATTACATGCGGCTCCAATTTTAATCTCATTTTATGAATGAATTTTAAAAGACGAATGGATTCTGCAATTAAAACAAATTTTTTTTGGAAACTCTATAAGTAGCGTTTAATACAAAAATAATCATCAAGGGGTCACACACACTTCACCATAATACTCTCATGCCATACTCTCTATAAGGAACAACGCTTAAGCCGCTGCTGTCTCGGCTGTATTTTGCGGCGAATTCGGAGTGCGATAGACACCAGCGAATAAAATGGTGCGCATCGGTTTGTTATAAATGAAGAAGAGGAAAGGATGATTTGCGTCAAAGACCGCAGGTTGCAACGGTCTGCCGGACCGGAAAGTGTAAAGCGCTGTGGCCGCAGCTGCCGTGGTTCCCTCTTCGGTGACTTCGATTTTTGCTCGGTGAACTGCATCACCAAGAGCCACTGGTGGTTCACCGTCCTCGAGGAATCCTCGGAGATCCGCAGAGTTCGGCGCTAGCAGCTCGCCTGCGCCTATCTCTTGAAGCAACGTGTTCAACGGAAGTTCCTTTTCTATTTCAAATCGTGGAAGAATTACTTCGACTTGCTGAAGTGGAATTCCTGAATCAAGAAGGTCACGAAGTTCAGCGGATCCTGATTCAGTGGAAATGCGTTCGATTAGCTGACGGATTCCGTCTCTCTCGCCAGGCTGATCGGAAGCGTCTGATGATCTTGCAGTTGCGAATGGTGGAAGTAAAACAAACATCGATATCTCTTCGCCTTTGTACGGCAGTTCTAATACATGTGCACCGAGGACTTCAGAGATCACTGTAAACGAAAGTTTTGATTAATTTTCAAGAAGAACGTACAAGATTTTGATATAAAATGGGGCTAGAATAGTCAGATGACTCGAAAAGAAGTTTAAAACAATATTGTATCGTTTATTATATCATTTGTCAACTTACTGTGATTGAAATTGCCCTTCTGCTTCATGAACGTAACCATAGAATGCTGGGATCCGGAAGTGTAGAAAAGGTCCTTTTTAGAATTGGCCTGATCGAAACGGCTGTGCCAGATACCTTTGAAGTAAACCGCGTTGGCCAACACCAAATCCGTTTGTTCATCGATACTGCCGTCAGGTAGGAGATCGTTAATGTGTCCCTTGGTCATGTTACTGACCCATTGATTGATGTTATTGCGAGCGGCTTCCGGGTTCGATCGAAAATCAGTTTCCACCAGTTGATTGCCGAACAAGTTCAACATGCATTCTCGTACCCTCCTCGTGTTCGCAATCCATAGCCGATTCGCCGAGTTGAACTCGTAACCGGTCGATGCATTGCGCTAGAAAAATATATGATTATTAAAAAATATTACTGCAACGAATTGTGTCTCACGAATGAAATTCATTCAGTTTTCAATTAAACTAAATAAATAATTGTGGCATAAACAAAAGCCTGGTATTTTATAATTACTAAAAACTAATTCTCAGGATCTAATATAATTATTAATAAGAATTTATTAAAAAGTTCTTTAAAACTGGCAAACTCAAATTGTTAATCGAGTTCCGTGAATCGAAACTGAATCAAGGTTGAATGTCAAGAACCTTTGACATCCGGCCACATGCGGCTTGCCTTGAAACACTTGCTGTAATGATGCAATTGCCTGCTCACCTGTATTTCTGCCTCAAGGGAATTTTCGTACGAGTAATATCGCTGCACATCGACCTTAGACAGATCGCCCGGTAAATGCAAAGCCTTTTGCAATGAGGATTCGGTGGTTCCACGAGCACCGAAGTACGCCAAGGTTATCGCCTCGTGAAGACTGTGCGGGCTGTAGAATATGTTATCACGAGATTCGATCAACGCCGTCTTTTTAAGCGTCTCCATGGCGAATTCGAATCTGGACTTGATCAACCCTTTCCTTGTATTCGCGCTCATCGATAATGTATCGTCGTGTCCGGTTAAACATTGCGCTGATATTGTATTGATGAGAAACAGCAGTGATAACACCGACGTTGCCTGAAAAAGAGCAGAAAATATGCAATTTGTAAAATTTCTCTTTTAAGAAAGTGACTGGCCACAAATTGACTTAAATTTTTATAAGGGTTGATCGAAGCAAGTGATGGAATAAAAATATTTAGAATATGCATTTTGGTGTCTGAAGACTATTGAAGGACTTTTTAATCTTACTCTTTAATCAACTGTTAGTCACTGACTTACGTAACACGTATTTGATAAAGACGGAACAGATCAAGTGTAATTAATCTGTAGGCGAATCGCGGAAGAATAATGACCCTTGTGGATGACGAAGAATGTAATTTGAAACACGCGAACTATAACTTATCTGTATAGAACTGAAATTATATCTTTCAGGAAATGTCTAAGTAAGAATCGTTCAAACGATTTCCTGTATTGCAAAATTCTAGAAGTGAACGACACTTGTCAATGCGTGTACCGTTATTATCGGTTACAATCGTAACGTGATTACACCTTCATGCGTGACCCGTACAGAAATTATGTAAAAGTAGAACTCCTATTATAGAACTTCATTACGAATTCATTTCAGATTCAATAAACTGATTAAGGATTGATTAAACAAAATTAGCAATATGAAAATGCACGTACTTTTCAGTTGATTAAAATTAAGTAACAATGAACGAAACAAAAGAACAATAAAAAAAGATTGAATGCAGCTGATTTCGAAACCTCCTAAATCATGGAAGCCGTGACCCCCAGCCGTAATTTATACGAATTTCTTGATCGCAGGCGAGGTCAACGCGATATCGACAAATAAATCATGCACACGTCATCCCGTATCTGCGACACTTTTTTTATGCCAAGCCTGAGAACCTCCCATGTGGGTGGCACGGTCTGCTTGTTCACAATGAGCTACTTTGCAATTTTAGTTAGGATCAGACTAGACCGGTTTTAGATTAACGAAATTGAAATTCTGTATTTATCAGTCAATCATGAGATTAAGATCCATTATATACAAGAATAATTATAATGTTAACAATTATATATGATATGTAATGAATATAATTCATTTAGGATTATTTTTAATAAACTTTTAATTAGTATTTAGTTATAATTAATTGCTAAGGTCAATAATTGGGGAATACATGAAACAAATATGGCAACTTGAAAGTAAATTCCGTGAAGAGTTTGTAATCGAGAAATTAGTGAAAATTGTACGATCTGGGACAATCGTCTGGACGAGTGAAAGCAACGAGCAAACCGTGACATCATAGAGTCCGACTTTCGTGTCTGAAATTAATGTATGACGATCTCGAGCTGTGACGAAAGCAAGAGAAAATACACCACGCCTCTCTTGCCTCTGCCATCGACAGCGGAATCTACACACGTGAGAGACTCGGTTCACAATTAATTCAATTTTAATCACGCCTTATATAAATACGTGAGTTTACATAATTTCGCGTACAACTTTCCAGTTCGTCGTCTGACAACCGCTAATCTCGCTTCCCGGCTTTTTTTGCACGCGTTTCTTTTTGAAACCTCGTGTGGATGGTGACCAGCAAAGCAAATTTCTATTCGGCTCTCGCAATTTTCTCCGGAATACTTGTTGCTTCGATAAGCAAACATTTACAGTTTCTCAATTCTGTAGTTTTAACGATTCTATGAATGAGACCTTTTGTTCTGTTGGGACAAGGATTCACATAAACCGGCCTGCTAATGGCAAAAGGAACAGTCAGCAAACTGTCAAGAATGACAAGTGAATTCTTCGTTCGGGTACGTGTCCAGTTTAGCAAACAAGACACGTACAAGGTGTGTAATAATCAATCGGGATTGATTTAGCCGTAAACAAATATCAAGTAAAACAATTGCGGAATCAGAAACTGCCTTGAAACTTTTCTTAAAAATTACGTAACTTACAAGATACCAACGACTGAAATCAGAACAAGGAAGAAGCTGTTTTTCAGTTTCAATCTCAAGTAATAATTTAAATGGTCCTAAATTGCCCTTCAGCGAAACAAATTGCTTAAGAAGCTAAGCTGAAGTCCTTCACGGTTCGTGGAAGGCTGATTATTGAAACGAGGCAGGAAGCACTTCGTCCCTATGCGAAAAATAGCTGAGAAAATAATGATTGCAGCTCAATGTTGAAGCGAGATAGAAAAGCGTAATGAGAAGAAATAGACAGAAATGTATGCAACGAACTGGGTTATCGCGATTGAACTTTTCATTGATACAAACAATAACTCGTTGATGAGACAGGCCTAGTTAATAAAGTGGAAAACTTTCATCATTAACTTGTAAGAATTTAATTCTCAATTAAAAATATACTGAATACTTCATGAAATTTTAAATATAAATAAAAATTTACTGTACGTACATTTAAAATCAACAAGCGAACAAGTTTTATGCACTAATAGGCGTTAAAAGAGCATAAACAATGTTACATTGAAACAAGCTTTCATACAAATATAAGAATCAACACTGCAATTTTTTAAACAATTCATGGTGCTTAAAAATTCCCAGTCTAATGACAGTAATTATGAACTTTTCCACGAATGGTAATGATTATAAATTTTTTTCAATGAAATCTTCACAGGTGGTCACTCACCGATTTAATAAACATATCGGCGGTTTAATTTACGCTTCGTCTCTAATCAAACAGTATCGTTAAATTGGATGCCCCACAGGAAAACGTCCAACCGTTGCTCGCTACGATATCGAACTGACAATGAGAGCTGAACGCTCAGAGTTCAGAGCCTTAGAGCAGAAAGAAAAACGAGATGCCCGCGCGAATAGCAACTCGCTCCGCTACGGTCCCCACCAAGCGAGTCTTGCCGACGAGCAAACCGGTATCACCATTTACTTTACTCATCGGTCAAACGAATCCTTTTTCAATGATAGAACGTTGCTTCGATCGATGCTGGAAATGCCCGGCCGTAATAGCTTCATTGCCAGGAAATCCCGTGGCCCGTTTGGTGGGGAAACGCGCGTCACATATGCAAATCATTGCTACAGTTCATCGTATGTACGTCTTACAATTAGTCAAGTGTTTACATTGGTATCCAAGCTCAGACTGAATCGATGAAGTTTCTATTTACACCAAATTTTGCATCTCACTCAATATTCTTCACGTTTAGTTGTATACAGGTTTTTCAATGATCGCGTATGAAAAAGATATAAAATATAATCTACTATAATTATACATTTCAAATAAGTAACAGAATTTTATTGAATTTCATAGAACCACAAAATTATCATAAATCAGCCACTAATTTTAATCAATTCTTTAAATCCTTCATTGACTTGCTAATTTCGAAACTTATTTCAATTTTGAAGTAACGCTACTACGACACCATACGAGAATGAAAACAGCCTCGATTTAAATGAATTAGAGAACAATAGCCATCAGTAAGGCAATAGCAAGATCGTCTCTTTTCACTTTTCTTTATTCGAGAATTCATTCAGCGTCGAACGAAAAGAGATTCCTTTCACGACGTCGTCTTCGAGAGCTGGCCAACAGCCAGAGAAAGCGAGGCGATAGATGTCTGTTCGAATCCATGAAACGCGTTACTGGGTCGGAATCGTTTAAAGATCAAACGATAGAACAAGGGCAATGAAGATCCCGAGTTATGACTTGTCAGTACTAATTAAGAGAACGCTGTATCGTTCTTGATGTATGAGTTAATCAATCAACGAGTAGAAATCAACATATTTTTCTTACAAGTTTCTGTTGTACTATTTTTATTTCCTCCTGCAGCGATATAAATACATCGAAGTAAATAATTGTCGGATGACCGCTTCCTTGCATAAAGATAATGAGTTTCACTGGTTTCGATTGCGAAATACAGTACGATTATTCGAACCTTACGAGCGACAACGGTTGGCAATTACGAACAGATGTTAATGAACAACTGGGAAATTCCACGATCTCCTATACAAAGACTCGCTTTTACTGTCAATTAAGTGTAACAATTTGAAAAACGACACCCGACGTTACATTATGTAATGATAACATACGCGTATGGTTGCGTTCAAAGACAGGCGATGCCGGAATCGTAACAGTTGAACTAAATCATCTGGTAGAGATTAATGTAATTATCTGTTCTAATAATTCTTTTGAAGCGATTTCTAAGTCAATGTCAATGATAAGAGTGACACATCCTTTTATACCGAGAGTACTTATTTTGGGATCTAGATAACGTATCGATAACGTGACACATGGCATCGTTTTCTGCCCAACGCTAATGACTAATCAATACATTTTATCGAGGGGTCAGTTTCACGTGGGAGAATGCACGATACTTTTACGTAACAGGAGTAGCGATATGAAAACCTCCTGTTGGACTTAAATTGCAATTTGTTTATAAACAACTCACCTGGAAGCTCGCGAACATTTTTCAACACGCACACCGTCTTCTGTTTTTAATTACTTCTCGTACAATGGAGCCTGAGAAATTGTCGACTACTTGTAACCCGACCTACAATGAAATTCTCAACGAAGCAACAATTTTCTCTTCGCATTTATAGTCATGGATTGCAAACGAAAAACGCGGTGGGACGCAGGGAAAATCCCGCACGAATTGTACGATAACTCGTGTTTGCCCCGACGCGACGATGGATTATTGTTTCTTTTCTTCTATTTTACGTACACTGTCATACCCATAATCGCTCTTTCGTTAATCTGTTGATCTTTTGCGGTCGACGGCCCGCTATATTCCCGGAAACGCGTTTATCAATCGTGCTATTAATTCTCGGGAGAATCTTGAAATTCGTCGCTTTTGTAACATCGAAAATTGAGGATGCTCGTTTTACAAAACCCGATCAACAATCTGGGAAAATAGGAAATGAATTAAGAATCTCTGTGATTTTCACAAAGACAAGAATAAATATGATTTGTGGTTGTTCCATACTTTTTAAGGATGCATTGGCTATACAGTCAATCCCAAAAGTTTATGTACCTTAGAAAAACGCATTTCCTATAATTAAAAAGAAATCAGACGTCGGAAGAACACTGCTAATAATAAATACCTACGTGCTAAAAAATATAGAAGGAAATATCCAATTAAGTNGAGAAAATTGCATACGACCTTTCTTGTAGAGGACGACGAGATCTACAATTTCTGTATAAATTTTTTTTGCTAGCATTAATATTTAACGAGTTATTGACGAAAAACGAAAAACCATTTTTTTGTAAATTACTCGTTAACTATTAACACTAGCGAAAAATTTTTACATAGAAATTGTAGATCTCGTCGTTCTCTGTAAGAAAGGTCGTATACAATTTTTCCGTAAGTCCAGCGGTTTGGGAGTTATTGGCAAAAAACGAAAATTTGGAAGAAATTGAAGGGGTACCCCTTGGAAAAATCTCGGAAAAATCGAAAAATTTTTTGTTGTTGTTTATTATTAGCAATGTTCTTCCGACGTCTGACTTCTTTTTAAAAAATGCGTTTCTAACGTGCATAAACTTCTGGGATTGACTGTATAGCCAATACATCCTTAAATCCAGTACGCTTTCTCAGGTACTGACAATTGAAAATTTTAAACACCTGAGAAGCCACTCTAACGTTAAAACATTTTTTAAATTATATCGACGATCGACGATAATAATTGTAAATTGTTACATCAGAGCTCCAGATTATTAATATCGGTTTTAATTGCTTACGCACGTTATAAGGAATTCATAATCTATAATTGGAAAGACATTTACATTTCGTAATGGAAATTCCATCGTTCGCAAATATAATATTTATTGCAGTCCACGCAACTTCGCACGTAAGATACCAGTGCGAATAGATTTTTCTTTACCAAATGCAGTTTTTGCAGAAAATGCGAAACTCCTCCAATTTATCCTTGGTAAAAATTAAAAACTCGTTGCGTAATACAGTCGCCAAATCCGTTTCTTCGAATTCAAAGATTTCAATAGTCAGACGTAAATTGTGGGAAACGATTTGCTGAAGACTCCTGGAACTTAATCATTTGTAATAACGTTCAGTAAATCACAGAACGTTTTGTTCTCCTTCCAATCTTGTTGTCTACATTGATTTGTAGCCCCTAAACTTAATAGGGTTCTCAGTTTAATAATTATGGCTACGATTTATGACTCTTATCGTTAGAACCGATAATTGTTTAACATATGGTCGTAGAATTTTCTGAAGATTTTTCCAAGCAATCGCAATTATTTTAATTTGAGAATTTCATACCGCGTTTAACTTCGTGGTTCAGAATAAAAATAATTTGTAACCAAAGTGACATATATAAAAATGTTATTAACAAAATAAAGTGAAAGGAAATAGGAAATGTAACTTTTAAAGAACATTGCAAATATCCTAATATCTTTGTAGTGATGTAGTGATATGATAGTGATTGTAACAATCGTGACGATGGTTCACCTACGCTTTGTACGGAGAAAAGCATTTTTCAAGAACTTTCGTTTTTCATGCTAACACGTGTATTAGCATTTGGATGTATTATCATTTATATAAAACTTCCTTCGACCGAAACTAACGAACATTGGAGACAAGTAAATTCCAAAAAAAGAAAGAAAGAACAAGTCTATAAACAACATAGATTATTCATTTCTCTAGCATCGTGCTAATATTTTGATAAGGTGACAGACTTTCCGGATGGCAATGAAACTCATGCGTTCAGCGATAGTACCTCGTTGAAAATGTTGGAGGACATCACAGCGAAAGTTTGGAGGACCTTGCCTGTGATTAGTGTGCCTCAAAACTGGGCTCTCAAATACTGCATGAAATATACTGAGATTTCAGAAAACGTGGAAAAAGCAGCTATACCGTGTCAATACGATGGTACAGACTGGAATTGCGTCTTTATTGAATTGGTAAAAATGTTTCTGGTTTTATACTTATTATCGTTAATTAATTAATTGTCGACCTTATCAATAAAGTCGTTTTGATAAAATGTATGATAATATATTTTTATATAACGATAATATTATTTTGTAATTCAATATATGCTGTGTTCGATGGTCAGGGTGGTGGAAGAGACGATTTCAATATGGGCAAAATCGTCTCTTCGTTTAACGACGTCTCTAATCGCGGGTTGAGATTGAAACTACTTCGCGCAGCCGAAATTTGCGGCAAACTCTGGCAGAGATACAAACAGATCCAAAATAAGAGATTGACTCGCATGAGATTAAACGTTCACGTGAGTCGCTTTACAAATTCGTAAAAACGGACGGTTGCTTTGTTCAATGTCCGTTTCGACCCAAGGTAAAGAGCAGAAAAAAGAGGTACTCGAAGAAGAACGGGAATTCACAAGGTTCCAAGAAAAAGCGAGTAAATAAGAAGGATGAAGAGGAACGTGACGAGGAGATTAAGAAACGGAGGCGGGCTGCTAAGAGAATGAAAGATATTCGACAGAAATTAACAAATAAGATTACACAACTGGAAAATAAAGGTAGATTTTTTAATCGTGGTCAAACTGCGGATTTGATTAGATAAAATTTTCATCCAAGGTATAAAACCTGAGTGCCTATTTGTTATACTATGTATATATTATGTAAAAGTTTAAATATTTTATTCTGCATAAAAATCTACAGTCATCACAATCATCAAAGAACTCTTGATTGATGTAGAATGACTGTCGAAATTGACTTTGTAGAGTTTTTAAGCCCGGAGGAAGAAACCAGACTCGGACGATTGCGCTTAACAAATTCCAAACCGCGTTTAGATTTAGAGGAGTATTCTTTGACTCAGGAACGTGCAGAATTATCTCGTCTGCAGGAGACCGGTTTGTGTTTATCGCAACAAGTTGCAAAAGCTTGTGAAACAATCGTCCTCGACGCGGTGCGGACACTAATATAATATAAAATTGTTATTATGCAGCATGTTACACAATTCTAATAAAGTTTAATTATCTGCAATATTGCTGCGTTTGCTTGAAACAGCTTCAGTCGAAAAAATATAAAACGATAATTTCGATACTATCATATCAGAAAGTCATACGTAGCAAAACTCATATTACGTACAAAACCGAGACACCATCAGATTATCATTGACTCTCGAATACCATTGTGTCAGCGTCTTACAATTACTTTATATTGACATTTGATCTTCGAGCGTCAGCGATTAACTGATACCGTTACGAAAATAAAATTTTCAACAATTCCCGACTAATTTACGAAATTTCATGATTGTGTTAATAGTATTGAGGATAATCATCTTATATGACGGTAAGTCTGTTTTTAGAAGATTCATTTAAAAGAGTATGCTTCTTAATGAGTTATGAATCTTTTTACGTAATGCTGATATAGGAACACCATTAATATTATCATCGAAGAATGATCTCATTTCTGAAATACCGAACGCCATTGTCGCACAAAAAACTAGCATTGACATTAACTCTGATAAACTGAACGCGACTGTCTTCGAATTATATTCAATAATCGTTCCACCAGACTGGGTAAATCAACAAAATTTTTTATCAAAAGATATGTGAAAGAAGTCCATGAATTCGAGAAATTCAGATTGTCGTCGATTTTAATGATCACAAAAGAACATTTCGGAATATTGATTTTAAAGTATTTATTCGTGTATAGATATTAGAAATCTGCTTAAAAGACACCCTGCTGCTGGACAAGTTACACGCGCACGTAAGCGATTGTAACAATTACTCATGTATGTTTTCAAAAGTAATCCGAAACGAGTCAATGAAATCTGTGATATCCATAATACGCAACGATACACTGGACGATGCGGCGAGTCAAGAATTCAAACAGAGCATACAAGATTGCTTAGTTTGGTGGAAGTTGTACAAACGTTTTGAGAAGAATGTAAATCCCCGCCGAGAGTTGGGACGATGCCTGTTTCAGACATTCTCGTTTGTAAGCAACTTGAGTAACTAAAATATACTCTAAAGCAATTAATTAAATATGTACTCTACATTTTCAGAAGTGTAGGGAAACGGTTCTAGATAAAATACGTATACTCTTACTTGCGGGGAAAGAATGAAAAAAAGGAGATACGATTTTTAAAAACAAAACGTTATTTTTAAAATATGAAACTTTATTATGTATTCTTTGAGCGTAACATGATTCTGTCTAGAAATAGACAATACTTAAATTTGTAACATAGTACCTAAAAATGATACATAAATTCCATTAAATACATAAAACTTCATTACTACGCAATAAGAGTATCTATTCAAAATATTCAATACTTCGTTTATGCATTTTATGAACATGGATATGTATATTTGCGATATCAGTGGATTTGCAAATATTGAGGTCAGTCTAAAATGTACTAAGTTTTCTAAAAATCGTTAACTTTAATTATTGTATTAACATTACAATTGTACTCTTGAAATGAACGAATTTCATTACTAAATATCACAGCATCAACTATTGTTACTTTCATCTTTTATCCATACTTGGAACCTTGTTCCACTCTTGCAATGCCGCACGATATTTACAATGCCTATTACCGTATAGAGTGCAGCTAGCACAATGAAATAACTACCATAGACAAAATACTGGAAAAAGAATACAATACGAAATATTTTAACAATACATGTATAATTCTAATTTACTAATAGAACTCATAAAGAAGTTTTTCTTATATTCATATATGTAGATCTAACAATCCGAATAGTTAAAATCCTTAAATAATTTGAAAATAAATATAAATTTAATTAATATAGAAAGAGAACTAAAGTAAAACAAAAATATCAAACAGATTTTACGTAAATGTTATCTACATACTTGAAATAATTGGGGCTTTGTTATCACGCTTACATCCTATGTTATGTAAGCACCTCGCAAATCTCTCACTACTAATAATTTGTGCTAATAGCATTGCCCTACTTGCTGTAAAATATAAAATCTAACACATAGATGATTATAATATACGCATGCAACCTTGTTGGACATGATCAAAACTTGAAGATATTGTCAGTATCAAATATGATACTTGTGGAAGTGAATATAAATAAAAACAATTAATATATAAACAGAACATTTAATGTTAATTAAAAATTGTATTCAATCCTAATAATATTCAAATTAGTCTCTTATGAGTTTTATTAGCAACTAATATTTTAATTCTAATCAAAGTCAAATCTTACCTGAGATCTCACATCTAAATTTAAGTTGCCATTCAATACTATAGCCGTTAATACGCTTTGCAGTAACAGTGCGAAAAAGGTATTTACACCGAATATCAATCCATAACTATCATCTGACACGTACTTCGCAATTTCAAAACTGTAATTCATGCACTTAATATTAAAATTCGTCGGATGATATTACACCAACAAATTATGTATGATTATGAATGAGTAATTTGAAATCGAACCTTGCAACAGTGATCATTGTGTGATAAATAATTCCAAACACTATGTACACAGCGTACATCAGCCAAATGTTACTACTATAGGAACCAGTCAGTAACAAAGCACCTTCCACAAGTGACATAAGTGACACTGTTATATCTCCAATTAATGACCAATTAAATGGCATTTTCCCAATAAAGAAAACAGTGCTTGCACCTATCAATAAGAACAGAAATATTATACTCTCGCTTATCGAATTATTATAGTATCACAGATGGATGTATATCATTTGAAATAATACCATTCAAACTGTATTAATCAATCACCTATTATTGTATATAACGCATCTACAGCACCATTGTAAATCTCATCTCCTGGTAATACTGGTTTTTGCCACAGTAATTGTATATAACTAATTACTTGTAAATATCCACAAGTCGAGAATGAGAACCATATGGACCATTTCAGAACATGACCATTTGAGTATGCGTGTAAGAAGTCCTTCCATAACAAAATATAAGCATTTTTTATTTTATGAACTAATGTGACATCGACTTTAGGTAACGTGTGTTGAGTGCGTTGTTCGGGTTTGTACATTATTTCATTCTTTAAATCAGTTTGCTGCAGGACGAATGTTGAAGAAATGCTATTCGTGCCCTCGTCATTTCTGTGAAAATAAATAGATCCGCCAACCGAGGGCAAGAATAATGTCCATACCGTGGCAATTATCAGTGCTGAAAGAAACAGATTTTGTTTTACGCAAGACGCAGTAGAAATTTACGCTTGCAGTTACTTATCGTAAATACCTCCGAGTGTAAAGAAGTTTAATTGATGATAATTCAGTATATCGAAAGATACAGTTAATTGTGCGACAATACCAGCCATACAGCGGCCGAACAAGCACGCTGCTTTTGTATAACCAGTTACTTCCTCATAATGCTTTCTGTCAACTTTCGCATATATATACGTGTAATAAGCCACCTCTGTAGAAAAGAACAAGCCGTAAGTGAATTCTAATATCTGCATAGTCAGGACATCTTTTCCAAGCACTAGCAGCAGAAATGTGACAACTCCAGAAATGCCGCATAGTACGATGATAGGTTTGTATCGCACAAAATCCGTTATTAAAAATATAATGACTAACGTTGCGAAATACGAGTACGTGGAAATAGGAAATATTTCTTGATTCACCTGAAAAATAGCAATCATATCTTATAGAATTTTAAGTATCAAAGCCAGAACTATGAACTATGGATTTCTATAGATATTTACTTGAACATCTGTAAAATTTTTCCATGGCCCTACTAAGTAATCAGTTACGAAAGACTCTGAAGGTCTGAACTCTTTGAAGCAGCCAAATACACACAAAATACAACAAATTGTCGTCCACTTCATTTTCATAGCACTTTTCTTTTTCACTTTTTATTCTTATTTTGATTTTTTGTTTTCTGGTAACCAATATTTTTCTTCTAAACAATATTTCCTCAACATTTATTATATTGTGTCATAGTTATACCGGTAGACTTTAGACCTCCTATACAAGTGTACATACAAAAAAATAATCAGCTTTTCAGTCTTTACATAAAATATTAACATATTTACTCAAATTGAAATTGAAATTCAGCATAAATATGTTCAATTACTTTCATTTCTAGAATATTAATCATACAAACCGGTTACTTTCGAAAATGATTACGATAATCAATTAAACTTTACATGATTTTCATTCCTAAGTTAATTTAATGTACAAGGAAATAGGAAGTTATTGAGACTTACCATTAATAATGTTTCAATTATTTCATTTCAAGATCAGTCATTTGAAATCAGTCCTGTTACGCCGTGTTACACGGGAATCGAAACTTCCTCTTTCGCGGCACATGTGATACTGACGATACTGACCGTGATCCGTGATGACAGTGACACTGATGAGTTGATCACTGAGTCGACTGACATGTAGATAAGTGACAAGTAACTCCAAGCTGACTTTTGACTATCATACTCGAATAAAAATGATAAATTATCACCTCTAACAGCGAACGTCCACACGATTATAAACGAATTACAACTATAAAATGACGGGAAGATTACAAAACGAGAGGTTTTATTATGTCAAAACCGCGTGTACGCAATAAAACACAGTTTCAGTTATTATACGCCATATGCGATAATTTCTTTCCGCGTTCTAAAAAATTCTTCACGTGTTCGCACGTGATTCATTGTATCGTCGAATGATTGCAACAACGAACAGAAATTGCATGTTGGACGAACCTAATTTATTATTGTACACGTATATGCACGATGAATAAAAATTGATTGAGCAATGTTTGCACAGCCTAATCTCGAGCATACCGAACCGACTAAAATGTGCGCACTTCTATGCTAAACTTGTCGAAGATTAATATACGCATAAAATGTTATTTTAGACGACAGTTCATAGGTTATCGTAAGTTAATAATTATCGCCGACGTATAATGTGATCTATTAAAATGTATCGTGCAAATGTAAGCATTCTTACATATCGCGTTCGTTACTTATTTTCGAATACGTTCAACAGTTTTTCTAATTTGAATATTGTTTAGCAAAATGGACAGCCTCAAAGGGCGAACACCGAGCCGATTCATCAAAATCGAATCAACGGAAGACAACCACCACCTATAAATATTCCCATGACTGTCTCGGAACAATTCCGAGAATCATGGTTAACTGCTATCATCGGGCTTATCATGTTCGCAATTGGCATGTGCCTCTTGTTTTGGAACGAGGTTTGTACATAGTCTTGCTTACAATAGAAGATTTGTTTCATAAAAATACTACTAATCCTTTAGGGAAGAGCAGTAAAAGTAGCACATTCTCTTGATGAGGCTTTGCGCGATGTAGCTGTACTACCAAATGCAGTCAAACTGCTGCCTGAGTTTGAGGGCCGTTTAATACATTTGTCAGGCCCATTAAAGATATCTGAACCATTAACCGAACCTGATTATGGAGTAATTGTATCCAGTGTAAAATTAAAGCGCAGAGTGCAAATGTATCAATGGGTAGAAATTGAGGAGGAGAAAAGGTATGTTATCAATATAAATAATGTTTATATTGTACGTGGTTTTAGTATCTTCATAATAATACATATTACGCATTAGTTTTGGAGGAGTAACAGAAGAAGACAAGCACTATTATTATACTACAGAATGGAAGGACAAGATTATAGATTCCGATCAGTTCTATATTAGAACCGGCCATCATAATCCAAAGGAAATCCCTATCAAGAGTCAAGTGCAAATTGCAAGTGAAGTTAAAATCGGTGCATTTACTCTTGGAACAGAATTGAAAAAGAAGTTCAATGATTTCATGGAAGTAACTAGCGACGAGAGGCCTGAACGTAAAGATATAAAAATGCACTCCGGTCTATACTATCATAGTGCTAATTTGTGGGAACCTGAGGTACATCCACTTTATTAAACATTCTAACATTTTATCTTAATCGATACGTTTGCTTGTAGGTGGGTGACATACGAATACAATTCTCCCATGCAGGGAAGGCGGGAGATATATACTCTATAATTGGCATGCTAGAAAAGGGAACTGTTGTACCTTATGTTACATCCCATGGGGAAGAAATTTTACTTCAAAGGAAGCACAAGATGACGGTAGATCAAATGTTTCATTTAGAACACGTGCATAATTACTGGCGTACTTGGAGCATTAGGTAACTGAAACATTCAAACGTTCCTCTTGGTTCACCTCGATTTGCGTAACTCCGTATTAAATGTTTCAGAGGACTTGGGTGGTTAGTCTTATTTTTGGCAGCAACGTGCTTAGCAAATATATTGAGGACAGTGATTTTAAATTCGACATTTTTATGTGGAATTATTGCAGTCGAATCTTTAACGATGTCTGTATCGATGTCTATCAGTTTATTAGTAATCGGCTTTGCTTGGGTATGGTATCGACCTGTAATAGGTCTTTGTCTGGCATTGGCATCAATTTTACCATTTATTTATTCGACGTTGACGTCAGGATCTCAATCACAACAACGCGATAGTTATAGAAGATTATGAATCTTCAATTCTTCTCTTAATAAATATATGCATCTTTTGTATATTACTTGTTTTACATAATGTAACGTAAAGTATTATCACAACTAGTCTTGTGCAGAATATCCTTAATGTGCGTACGACAAAAGCATTATTAATCATTTTTCAGTGTAGACAATAATAAAATATTTTGTAAATAAATGAGAAATAAATTTGAAATGAACTCTCTAAGAATGAACTAGCAACACAGTGTGTTCGATTCCCTAGATATAAAAAATGTTCCTACGTATTCATTAAAGTCCCTAATATACGAGACTTGATTTTCTGTCTCTGGTTTCTATTCTCAATCTCAATAGTTCTTTTTATGAATGAGTGATACAAGATGGCCGTGTAAACTTTGTAAACGGAAACGTTTATTTTGATGACTCGGAGGAAAATTGCATGCTTTAAACATTATTTTTGACCAGAGTGGATCTAATTGACACTACATAAAACGAACTTGTCAAGAAATTAAATGAATGTAGATGACAATGACCGAGGAAACACAACAATCTGAGACAGCCGCACAAAATGAGGCACAAACTAGTTCTCCAGACGTTGGAAAAGTTAAAGACAGTAAAAAAGAGAAATGCCGACCAATGACAAAGGTATAATTCGATTAAAATGATGTTATAAATCAATGACCCTCATCTTATTCATGCAGTATCATTTTTTGTCCATTGGGAAGATGATGTATTTGGTGGAACAAAAGATCGATATTTCATCTTCGATTTCAATCGTTTAAAACAATCTTAATTAAATAATGATTTGTCTACGTTTCTTACATCTCAAGTGTAGAGCACGGTCTTGTACAATTTTTATTATTTTAAAACATAATACTGTGATCAAAAATGGTAAATTTGCAGTTACATGTTGTGGCATATTCATTGTCCTATTTTTTAAATAAAAAGAGTGAATACTAATAATAATAACTTGCACAAGTTTCCTTGATCAATACACCACATATTTTAATTCAACTTTAACTAAAACTGTATTAAACAATGTATTTCAGGTGGTAATAAGAAGACTACCTCCAACTATGACCCAAGAGCAATTCCTAGAACAAGTTTCCCCATTACCTGAACATGATTATCTTTATTTTGTGAAAGCTGACATGTCCATGGGTCAATATGCTTTCTCACGGGCTTATATCAACTTTGTCGAACAGCAAGATATTTTCATGTTCAGAGAGAAATTTGACAATTATGTGTTTGTGGACTCCAAGGGAACAGAATATCCAGCAGTAGTAGAATTTGCACCTTTCCAAAGGCTACCCAAAAAGAGAGTAGGAAAAAAGAAGGATTTGAAATGTGGTACAATAGAATCAGATCCTTATTATATAAGTTTCTTGGAAAGTCTTAAGAATCAGGAAGCTGAATCTAATGTATCACAGCCAAAGACAGAATATTCCTATCAACCACCTGACAGTAAGTTTGTATTGAATTCATACACAAAAGTATTCTTGTTACACGTATAAATGAACTCATGAATATATATTTCTTCTATTATTATAGATACACCAAAAAAAGTAACAACCACACCTCTTCTGGAGTATGTGAAACAACGTAAACAAGAAAAACAGCGTCAGAGAGATGAGAAACGTGATGAGAGACGACGAAGAGATTTAGAAAGGCGAAGGACAAAGGAAGATCCTATAATATCTAAGGTGACACTACACTTCATTATTTCATTTATTATTACCCGATTAATTGAAACTGAACTAATTCTAAATATGACAAATACAGTATAGAATGAAAATGACAGTTGTATCTTTTATCTTAATTGATGTTTTGTTAAATTATAAGCACTGTGTTCTCTACTGTATTTGCTGACACTAATCTTTTCACCCTACAGTCTATGTGTAATATCGAAGATAACCAGACCAAGTATTCCTTCCTTTCTACTTCCTCCACTGTCAAGTCAGAAGATATATTTCTTGATCATCCTACTGAAAATTTAAGTATTCCTCATAAGTGTAAAGAAGAAATTTCCACTAGTGGAACTGCAAACGTGACACAGGCCAACAAAAATTCTTTAAATATGCAGCAACAATTTTATAGAAATGAGAATACCGAAGTGTATATTAACTGTGTTAGAAGCGTGACTCGCGTGAATGAACGATGGCATTATAATAATAAGCAACCGAAATTATTTTATATCTACGAAAAGAATTACAAAGAGAAAGATGTTAACTGCAAAAAAAACAATTACAATCATTGGAGTAATGTTAAAAATAACTATGTTTATAACAATACTAAATGCACGTCTCATCTGATGAACAATAAAAATTATTTCTCTGTCTTGTCGAAATCTCAATTTACTAATTTACACAAAACATGGAAAATGCAAATACCAACGGAGATATCGAAGTCGAGAAGTTGCAGTGCTGTGTTCGATTATCATAAACTTTACCCCTTTAACGCCTGTGAAACGGGATTGCCAGGATATCGTAAAAATTCATGAAACGGGAGACTGCAAATGATTAGCAGGGAAATTCATGTTACGTATTTTATTTACTCCATGTTAAAAGGTCATGAGGATTAATGAATTATTTCATCGGTAATGCGATTTGATTCAACACTACATACCGTTTTCGTTTAACATTGTATCCGAAATTTGTATACATTTATTAAGATGTAATTAATTTATTACTGTTTAGTTTGTATACATTAAATTTTGTAAGAGAAACTGTTTTTAGAAAAAAGTGAAAATTCTGTGTTACTTATTGTCACTTATTTACTCAATATCTTTCATGTTTAATCCTGATTAAAAGCCTGTTAACATCTAAATCGATAAGAATGTATTATTTGAAAATAAATGTGTAACTTTGTTGTAGGTATTGAAAAATCCAGATCTTGATAAAGAAATATGTAAAGATAATAAAGAGAATAGGGAAGAGAAGGATAAATTTGCACCGAAAGACATTAAAAATCGTATTAAAAAGGAAGATAAATTGCGCGAGAAGATACCCCGTGATCGAGATTCCAAATCGTTAATAAAGACGTACAGAGAAAGAATTGAAGATAGGAATAAGGACCGAGACATTAAACATCCAAGACGGCACGAGGATAAGAAGATATACGGGAGGCGAGATGAAAGGGATGGTGTAAAAGATGATAGAAGATTTGATGGAAAAGATGATAGGAAGTATGACTTTAAAGAAGACAAAGAGTCGAGGGAACGAAAGCTAGAAGAGAAACGAGGTAAAAGTTATGAGAAAATGAGGCAAGAAAAGAAAAGACTTGCGGAAACCAAAAAACAAAACGTAGAAACTAGTGTCGATACTGAAAATACTGTCAAATTAAGAGGCGACGAGGAGGAGTTTCAAAAGAAGGAATCTCAAGCCGATTCGTATGAAAACATTAAAGAAAGGGATGAACCTTTGGGCAATAAGGATGATGCGAACATTAATAAGGGAAGAGAGAGTCAAGAGATTAATGACAAGAAAGTCTTGATAGAAGAATCTGTACAAAATCTAGGAATGAAAGAACAGAGAACAGATATAAGTAATCAATTCTATACTTATATAAAAAAGCATCAAAATATTCCTCGCTTATAAATATTAATATCTCATTTTTTTCAGAAACTTTCGAGAGCCACAAAGATATCGAGAAGTCAAAATCTCATGAAAATATTAATAAAAAGGATGAATCTGAAGACAAGAAGGATTCGAAATTTACGAAGCGACGTAGCTCGCTTGAGAGCGGAGGAGAAGGTGGGACGGGAGACGGAAATTGTTTAAGAAGGCACAAATCTTTGGATGGGGGGAATCAAAATAATTTACAAAAGACTGAGATTGAAGATAAAGAGAAGGATAAAAAAGATCCACGGCTAGAACGTAGGATTAGAAACAAGGTACCCAATTATCCGGATTAGCATATTAACATGTTTCATTTCTGTGATTTATATGAAAATTTTGTTACTAAATAACAGGATCGCCCAGCCATGGAGATTTATCGACCTGGTATGGGAAAGTTTAGTAAGCAGAGATTAGAACGAGAAAAATCTAGTACTAACGATGAACGAGCATCGCTTTCGCAAAGTCCTACTCCGAACCCTAATGCTAACAGTGTTTCGAAATCGGGTAAACCTGGAACAGAAGTACGTTCTATGACGTTTAAACGTAGCGTTAGCCGCGATTTGGTATAACGAATACTAAATTTGACTATTCTCTTCCTAACAATTAGCGATGCAACGTGTTGAACCTGTGTTAACATAAGATTTTTACACTAGTCTTTCTCATCACGTACAGTATCATAACAGTGTATCTATTGTACACAGATGCATAATAAAAACAACATACAGTGTCCTACTTACTACTGCTAGAAAGAGTTCATGCTGCCACGAATGTATGTATAAAACTATCAATGTTAATTTTATTTGTTCTGTACTTTTGTTCCGATGTGATATCGAAGTGTTTATGATTTTCATTAGAATAAATTTCTATGATGATACCATAAATTTCTTTAAATACTATCTATCGTTGCATTTTGTAAAAGATATAAACAATCAAACGTTTACGTATGATTTGATAACCATGAAGAAATTAGCTTTTGTCGATTTTCTAATTTGATGTTTTTATGAAAAATTGAGTGCACTTATGAGAAGCATTATACTTAATTAACTTTTTATTAAACTAAATTACATTAAAAAAATATTATTTTTACTTACTTTAATTCCCGGCCATAAGTTCTCATTAAAAAACATATAATTTACAAATTTCATTGCTTGACTTATACAAATGAGATAATCGCACCGAAAATCCAAGTACACTTAGTTCTTTCTGTTTCGCGGTGTACTATGTCTATTTCTCTTTTTTAATGGTGACGGTGATGGATTAGATGAATCGATACGCTTCTTCCGACCTTTTTTTAACGTTGATGCAGATGTAGTAACTAATAAAAAAAGTCAGCAGCAATTATAAGAAGTTTTATGTCAATTCTTTGTAAACAAAATTATATTCGTACCTTCCTTTCGCGGAGTTGTCATAAATACCTCAGAGTCAGAATCTGAGCTAGAACTCGATTTACGTCCACGAGACTCTCTAAGTTCTTTCGCTAAAATAATTATACACGATTTAGTAAGTTCATCTTGCAATGAAAATAACTTATAAAAGAAATTTACGTTTTCTCGTGGGTGTTGGATCTATCTCATTATCTTCAATATCATCTTCTTCGTCGCTGCTATTTTTTTGTTTCCTGCGCCTAGTACGTCTTCGCGATTTTGGTACCGGCGGCGGTGGCATTATCTCTCTATCATCGCATTCCTTTGCATCATCCGTTGAACCCTTGAGAATATCTTCTATTTTCTCTTCCAACTCTATACAGACCAGTTTCGTGTTTGGTTTCTTCTTCGTCTGCTCGACGATAGATTGTAACGCTTTTAGAACTTGCTTATTATGAAGTTTCTCTTTCAGTTGAGGCAAACTTTCAATGAGGCAACGCACACTTTTCGGGCTGAATTGGAGAAGCGAAAGGCAATAAGCAAAATCGCACCACTGTCTTTCGGAAGTAGCCAGCTTAAATCTGGCGCAAATTTTATTAATTATGGCATCAATTTGTGTTTCCTTCTGCAATAAACTTAGTATGTGCTTAACAATTTCCTGAAAATCGGACTGGCATATATCTAAATTAGGATCGGTTAATCGAGACAATATATCAGGCATCACGTTGTACAAAGCATTGCCTTTTTGCGAAAGTGTTGTGAAAAATTGTCTCGCGTCTTGCTGAATCTCTGGATCCTTATCAATAATGCAGAGAGCTAATTCTGATATTTGGCCTCTAACGCGTACCATTTCCCTAATAATGAGATTCGATAAAACTCGAACACAAGTGCTTCTCACATTCGTGTCTCTATCTCGAAGTCTGCCGTAAACGTGTTTCATCCATGGTTCGATTAAATTTGGGAATCTGCTTGTAAGATCAGATATCCCAGTGAGGACAGTGGCCCGAATTTTTGGATATGGTGAACGCTCTAATATCGTAATTAAAAGTTGTAAAGACTCCTCGCAAAAGATTGAACTGACAGTCATCATCTTTCCAAGGGCAAGAGCTCCAGCAGCCTGTACATCTTCATTGTTATACTTATCGGAGTGCTGGCAAACTTCTAATACTAATGGGACAAATGTCGCTAATAGTCCTTCGCCAGTCACGACATAATTCTCGAGAATATCGTCTATAAATTCTGCGTCTGCATCCTCTGCTGCTCCTTCCACAGCCTCTTCTCCATTGTCTTCGATGATGCTTGCTTCTCTATTACGAATTATTTGTCTTGCACTACTTGGCGTAGCCATGGATTTACGTGTATTTTTCTTCTCGTTCTTATTCAAACTTTTATTCTTCTTTTGTGATCGTATCATATCCCTTCGTTTTAATTCTTTATAAATAGACGTATCTAAGTGTACCATTTGCTGGATGGCAATGTGACCAACTACATACAGAAGCTTAGATAGCAAAAACAATGAAACAGTATTTTCAGAACTATCGTCGTTAATAAATTTTCCTCGAGTACTGATTTCCAACAAGTATTGTTTCATTAAACGATCGGGCTGATTTGCTAAGTGGTAAACAGCATTAATTGCATGAGTTGCAAATGAAATATATCCATCTTGTTCTGTATTAGCGAAGTTTTCTATCAGCAGTGTAAGAATTTCCTTAAACATTTCATGGTCGTTGGGATGCCTTAAAGGAGTTTTCTGTATATCATCGCTTTTATGTTTTATAGCACAAAATGCTCTACACGTGTCTCTGGCTAGTAAAAGATCTGTTTTGGCTCGTGGACCGAGTCCAACTTTTATTAACACATCAAAATTCCCAGTTATGATGCTATCTTGCGCTTGAGCTATCATCGTTATCAGTATTAAAGCGGATCTGCTATCTAATGGCTCCGTGTCCGGTGATTTCATTGAAAATATCTCCCACAAGACCTGTACTACTTCGCTGTTGATGTCGTCATTATCGTGCCACTTTAAAACAAGTTCAGTTAGAGCTTTACTTTGACCTGGTTGCAGCCCTTTCACTAATTCGATTAATGCTTTAACACAAGTGAGCGCCCTTTGTCGGTCAGATTTTTGTCCTACATTTTTATTTAAATAAAGGTTTTTGTATACGATTGCTATATTACTCCGTACCGATTCATCGCGATGAAAGACTTGAAATAAAGCCTCGCGTATACTGTCTGCTGCTCCAGTTACACCGAATTCGTAAGCAGCTCCTAGCAAACTGCATGCTTCAACAGCGTCGCCCGCTGTGGTAGAGAAAAGTAGTTTTTCTGCCACAGGTATAGCAGCCTCTAACTCTGTTGCGAACTTCAAGCAATCCTAAAAAACAGTATACTCTCTCGATAATGTTCACACGAAAAGTTTCCGAAGAATTTCAAATATGTAAATTCTTACTTTTAAATAATTTACAAGTTGCTTTCCTGCTGCTATTTCTTGTCTCTCTTTTTCTTGTTTCTCTTTTTCTTGTTCTGACTGTTCTTTGTTATTATTCAAGTTCTCTGATTCCATAAAGGTCTTCAATAAAAGTAAAAATAAGAATTCTTCTTTTGCTTCGGGAGTGAAGTTTTCCATATCGGGACTTTGCTTCAATTTTACACAGGTTTTCCACAAACTCTTCACTGCTTGAAGGACCTTCCCTTTTAATAGTAACTGCCTTACATGCTCGAACATCGCATCAGGATCAATATTTTCTTCCTCTTCCTCATTTTCATTTTCATCGTCTAACATGTAAAATAGAAACGTAAATAAATAAATGAAATTTCTTCGAATAACATACATATATATTTCGTTAATATTATATAAATGTATACGTACTTTGTTTCTGCTCTCCATCTTTAACGATCTCCTTTAATGCGTCTCTTATTTGTGGAAGCGAAGCATTCCACATCTCGAGTCTTTCGTTGTCGCCACGGGCACTTCTGCTGACATGTTGAGTTTGCAGTTTTCTCAGCTTTATCTCTTCCTTTTCCAGTGATTTGGAAATTTCTACTTTGTTCAACTACGAAGATTTTTCATTGTATCCATTATTCTTTTCCGAAGGCTTATTATAAACCTCAGAGCACACTCTTGCACTCACCTTTGCTGCAAAAGGATTACCCTGGAGTAAAGCGCGTATTAATTGCAATGCTTGTTTCCGTACAATTGCGCTTTTATCTTCTAAACGCAATACTGTGTGAGCTAACAGTCTCCCTTGCCTCGATACTGGAATAGCTCCCTCACAACATAAGCTTTGCCAAACCTGCAACACTTTTGACCTGACAAAAGCATGATTATCTAAAATATGCTCTTCCAAATTATTCAAGCATTCGTCGCGTTTATCTTTTTGTTCTTGCGTAAGATTGTCCCCAGTCAACGCTTTCTGCACAATTTCTCGTATAATACAGATAGTACAATTTCTCATACTATAATGCTAGAAAAAAATAAGCATCCATACATGACCATAAAATAAACTTGTACACTACCAGTATTAAATTAACTTCAGGAAATATACTTCACTACTCAGATAGTCCATTATGTCGTCGAGATAAGGAATTATAAGATCTGGATTAGAAGCAGCAATAGTTTCTAGAAATATTGATAAATTACGACTGTCGACTTCAGATGGTTCGCGTTGATCAATTTCTTTCATTATTTCTTTTATCAAACCAGTGCAACCACAGTTATTGATCATATGGATGACTCCAGTGGCTATGCAGGCTGGTAAGACATCGTTTACTTGTACTAACTAAAATATTAATTTACATATTTAAGAAATTGACATATTATGTAAATATATATATATATATATACATGTAATAAAATATACAAACGCACCTGAATAATCCTTACAACACAGCTTATACCATGATTATATTTCTTAACTGATGTACCTAAAATCTGTTTTAAAACGATAGAGTGATTTTCAAGTTGAAACATGCTGATGTGTACTTACCTCAAAAATAGTTTGTCTGATACTTTTCTGCGTTGGATGTGTACATTGTTCCAGCAGTTTATAACACACTTTCGTAAACAACCTAAAATAAGAATTGAATTATATTTATAATCCACAGTTGTACGTCTTACAGGGTTTACATACGTAACGAACGAATCTTCAACTATAGTAGGTTGCCAAAGTTTTTGCAATGGTGATTGCAATAACCTATAGATGTATTCCAATGATTTTTCTTTCATGTAATCCCATTCTTCTTCCACGTCTGACTTAGGCGGTTTCTTACGCTGAATAAAATGATCAATTATTGTTACTAGAAATATTTCTTCTAATATACTTAAACTATATGACACAAACCTTGCCTGTGTATTGATCAGGCATGTCTTTAATAATTTCATCATTTATATATGAAATATACGAGGAAAATAAGTATGCGAGCATTTTACAAATGTTCACTAGTCTGAATTTTTCTTCTTCTTGTATTTCGGTCCCCAATTCAGCCGTATTTTCCATGTCGATTACCAATGTTTCAATAGCTTTAAAGTTTATTAATTATACATCTTATGTTATGTCTTATATATCTTATCTTATCAAGATTATTAATTATATATCTGTACATTCATCCCTGGTTACATCAATAATGTTTAAAGATCTTTACCTTTTTGGAGTCTTGTAAAGGCACGTAAAGTAATCGGAAGTTCAATTTTTTTACCATGAACAAGTACAGAGAAAAATGCATCGAAATGCTCCAGAATAAAGTTCACTCCATTCGTTTGGAGTGCAGATCGGGCTTCTGCAAACAAGAATAAAATTGAATTAACAAATATACAAGTGAGGCAGATATAAAAATTAATTACGTACCATCAAGAACCTGTGGTAGCAATCGTATTGAATATACGTTTTGAACAAAATATTGCCCGGGTTGATTTTGCAAAAGTTCATCTTTGTTTAAGGGGATGACGAAATCTTTAATCATCTTAATTATTTACAAACTCACGAACTCTTCAAATATTATTTCACATTTGATGTGGATATAACACACAACACAGCGTTTCACGCTTCTTCACAGCACAACTGTTTAACGATGCAACTGTAGCGACGCTCATTTTCAAATTGATTGATGCCAACGTGATAGTATTCAAATTATTACAGAAGAACAGATAATATATAAATATTCATATCAATTCGGAAAGAATTACTATTATTCGGTGTTAAATAACAAACATACTACGGGTTTATATATTAAACTCTTATTATTCTCAATTCTATTGCTTTGTTGGTTCTTCCGATGATCTGCTCTTATGTTGGCAAAATTGTAGTCAGAGTATCGCATCAGCGCAATGTCGACCGAAATAGAGAGAGATGTTATTCGAATAAATAATCAATTGTGCGATTTTTCAAAAGATGGAAAATGGTTTGCATTCGCGAATCAATCGAATTTAATTATAAAGAACTGTAAAAATTTGGATACCATTCATTCGTTCATGTTTCCAGACATAATCGAGGTTGGTGTATACAATCTAATAGTCAACAAGTTGTAAGAACATTGTTAATCGTTTTATAAAGAATAAAGTATTTTATAACAGCACACGTTGTCTTTGTTTTGATCACAGTACTTAGAGTGGTTTACAAATAGCGAATACATTCTATGTGCAAACATAAAGAAAGCTATTGTTCAAATCTACTCGGTCCACTATCCTGAATGGAAATATAAACTGGTTGAGGGCAGTGCAGGTTTAGAAAGTGTTAGTTGTTCTCCCGATAGCAAATATCTTTTGACATTCTCTGATTTTAATGTAAGTAGTAAGATTAATTTCATGTTTTTAATTTAACCCAATGAATCAAGATCATTAAAATATCCAAAATAGATTCAGATCTCTGTTTGGAGTTTGGAAAGTCAAAGTGTAACTCATATACAAAATGTGAAGTCCTCTTTCAATGAGCTATATTTTAGCCCAAATGGCAATAAGTTAGCAGTAGTGGTCACAGTTGAAGGAGACGATAATATAGAAATTTACAATACTGATAATTGGAAATTAAGCAAAGTAAGTAATTACATTTATTTAGAAATTTTATTATAAAAATACTTTACAAATTTGTTAATCCTAAGATGTCTATATCATATATCTTAACAGTATGATCAGATCCACAGCTTGCTAATTGTAAAATATCAGAATTTGTTTCTTGTGGTCGAAATTTAAGTCTTTTAACAGTTAAATGATGAGCTTGAGAAGAATCATATGTTACATACTTTTGCCATTCAAAATTAGTAGAGAATATTGTCAACTTTTGTATTTCTATACATCCTGTTTCAAATCCAATTGCTAAAACATAGGTGTGTTCAGAAACATTTCGGAGCGAAAATGCGAGTGCTGTAACAGAATTGTTCACATCCAAACTTGTAGTAGGAATAATTTTATTATCTGTGAAATTTGGACTCCATATTCCAATCTTTCCATCTCTGGAACCAGTCGCAAAGAAAGTCGAATCGTGCGTCCACGTACAGCACCATATTATCCGAGTGTGAAGACTGTCTTTTTTCGAACTAGCTGCAATCAAAGTATACGTGTAATCTTCACATTCAAACAATGACCATCTCCTGTCCCTGGAAACGGACAGCAGATATTTATCATTGGGCGAAAACTCCATTTGTGTCACGGTCAATTGATGAGACATAAGTTTCTGGACTTGAGTCCATGTATTCGTATCCCATAATAATATCGCAGAATGTTCTGTTGACGTGGATTTACACGCGGTTGCTAGTAACGATGCATCGTGTCTGGCAGCTATAGAAAATATTTCGTATCCGTGACCGTAAAGTTTCTGCAATTCTGGCCATAGTGTATTTTGCATTAACTCCTCTTCTGTAGGCGGAACGTAATCTTCATTTTTAAAATGATCAGTCTCCTTATCTTTTGTCTTAACATTATCGTTGAACGTCGCTTTATTCGTTAATCCAAGTGCGGGTACCGATGCGCTGTTAGCTATCATATTTTTAAAGTCATCGACATTGGCAATTTTCATTAAACTATTCTTAAATGTTCCCGGAGCCGTGAATATGCGAACAACTTTTTCTTCCGCTCCCGAGGCAAACATGCAAGGAGTCAACATAATTAAACAAGACATGTCATATCCATGAACTTGTGGACGCCCGATTTCGTGCCAGAATTCAGCTGTTCCATTCCTCCACGGTGCATGAATTCTCGTTGTTTGATCTGCACTTGCAGTAATGAGAAATCTGTAATACAAAACAACATTCAGTTTTTTCTATTAAATTAAAAATATGAGATACATACCTTCCGTTTGGTTCCCAGCAAAGATCAACTACTTCAGCAAAGTGACCGCTTGGTACACTTTTTGGCATCCAATTTTTTACAGTATGGGAATATTCCCAAATATGAAATGACCCTTGATAACCATGTGCCAATATATTCAAACCATTACCACTAAATTTACAACCATAAAAGCCCATTAAGTTTCCACCAACTTCACCTACTCTTACTTTTTCAGACCAAATCCCAGTAACTTCATCTGGTTCCCATATAATCATAGATTTATCTAACGAGCATGATAATAATCTTAACTTCTGTTGTTTATTGTTCGACTGTGTTGGATTCCAATGTACACCATAAACCCAGCCTTCATGACCATAAAGAACTGATTCCAAAGTAATGTTATACTTTGTTTCATTAGCTATAAATACTTGTTCTTTCTGATGTAAGTCATCCTTATTTATGTGTTCCACAGTATTTGTAGAAATTTTCCATAATCTTATCATTGCATCTTGCGAGCCACTTGCAAGCAGGATACTATCATCTGTATTACAACTAAAATCCATACATCTTATCCAATCTTCGTGACCGATTAAAACTTGAGATTTTACAAACTTTGATTTCGTTATGAGATTGGAATTTGTTACATATAATTCAATTGTTGAATTTTCTATTGCGACAGCCAAAAGTGGCAGGTTCGTACTTGGCAAAAAAGTGAAGCAGGCTTCAATTGGAAGTTTCGTTCCAAATGTAAGTGACTGTAAACAAATCACGTTACTGCTTGCATCTCTCAGCCAAATTTTCAAATCTCCTTTCACAGAGCCAGTGCATATGAGTAATTCACGAAACGTTTCGTTACTTTCATCAGATACGTAAAGCGCATTACTAAACGTAAGAACGTCACCGATTTCTATAACAGAGCTGCATTCGAAGCATTGTTCTTTCATGCTCCAAACAACAGCATTTCCGTCAACCGAGCTCGAAAGTATTTCCGACTCTGGTTTTAAGTTTTTTCTTTTGATCCATCGTACAGTATTGACACGATTTTTGTGTCTATGAAGCGTATGTGTTACTTTACCGATTTTTGAAATACACGCATCGTAAATCGCGATTGCATGACACGCCGCGAAACAGATTAGTCCGTTCCTTCCCCAATCAGCTGAGTGTGGGACTCGATTACAGGCGGACGAAATATAACTTGCTGTCATATCTTCTGATTACAATAAATAATTGTTTTAAATGAACGATGTAACCTCGAGAGCAGTGCACAAGTTTTAGCGCGTTGTACACGCGGTCATTTACAAAGAAATCAATAGAACTGCTTAACGCAAAACTCACTACACTCCGATTTATTTTACCGCCACTTGCTTTAAATGTCTACTTCAATTTCTCAATTTCTTTTTAATAATAAGCATATCCTTGTCTAGAAATTGATATGCGCACGATTAAATAACATCGATGGGATTTGCTGGTCTCCAAACAGCGAACTACTATGCATTTGGTCTTCGTTTAGTGACGAGCCAAAGTTGATTATTTATTCGAATTTATTAGAAAGAGATATTGCTGTGTTTTATCCTACGCGCAATAAGTTATCACCGAAGGAATTTATCGAACATGTGAACTTGAAAGGAATTGAAAATGTCAAGTGGATGCCTAGTGGACAATTATTAGCTGTAACAGGATTTAACGAAATGGTATAATTTTATTCACATCAATGATAGATTATGATTTTTTTACAATATGTCATTAATATACTAATTCAAGATCGTGTTGTTAAATCACGTAACGTGGAAACCGCTTGCGAAGCTGTATCTAGAACCAGTAATTAAAGAAAATTATTTGAACAAAGTATACGAAGAGCGTATAATTCAATCGAAATTGTCTGCTAAGAACACCAACTGTTACGACAAACATGTTTGTAAGTTATTATAACAATTTACTACGGCACATCAATGACATTCAAAGGATTGGTATTTATAGTAGAAGAGAAATCCGAGCGACCGGTGAATATAAAAATTGGAAAGAAGAATGATATCGATAGATTGTCTATTGCGAAATTTGACATCCTTGAATTTAGCTACTGCGGACAATATTTGGCTGTAAAGCATCAACTTTATCCTACAACTTTGTGGATATGGAATATTATAGAAGATTACTTCGATTACATTATTCTTAAGAATCCTATTACAGGTAAGATATATTTGAACATCAATCTTATATCAAATTGGCCCATGTTAATATTTAAACACTTTTGTTCAGGTGCGAAATGGAATCCTACGCGCGCTCATCTTTTAATTTTTTGTGAATGCGCATACATGTTCGAGTGGACACCGGAAACTGCAAATTGCATACCCGTTTCTCGAAATATTGCGATACTAGATGCCAGATTCCATTCACAGGGAAATCTTTTGTTGCTCTGTGGCTATAATAAAGCAATTATTTATCAAATTGATATTAGTAAATCGTGAAGAATTCATGCACTTTTTTACTGTATATTATTTTTTGTATGAATTATAGGAACTGGGCTATTAACAAAATGTTTGTACTGTAACATGGTTTAGCTTAAAAATATTTTATTCATTGTATAAATACAATAGATTATGGTCCTCGGGCTTAGTCGAATAAACCTGTAAAGAAATGAATTTGATTAGTTAAAAATGCTTTGATTCTTATATAGCACAACTGCAATTAAAACAATATTCTCATTGCTTTAAATGCAATCATATACAATACAGTATCAGTAGCTAATACATGTTAATAATAATAATCATTGAATATAAACTTGTCTGTTGCAATTATTTCGTTAATTATATTACAAATACATACCGAAGCCCATGTCTTCGTCGGATTCCTCTTCGGGTTCCTCCTTCTTCTTTTCTTCCTTGGCTGGTGCACTTTCTGCAGCAGCAGGTGCTGCAGCTGCTGCTGCTGGTGCTACAAGATAAAAATCATTTTATAACACTCATTTCTCTTTATATTATATTTGTACAATTAGACATTTCTTATCATGCTTTCAAGTATGATAACAAAAAATGTCTAATTCTGTTTCTTTCTCCCCTTTTGCTGACTGTTCTAGTGAATAACATACTAGACCAATGGATGAAAGGGATGTTTACAACAAACTTATATTAAAATATTCAGAAACAGTTACCTGCTGCTGATGCAGCTCCAACTCCAGATCCAATATTTGTAATAAGCTCCTTGATGTTGACTCCTTCTAAAGCCTTTGCAAAAAGTCCAGGCCAGTAGGATTCAACATCAACATTGGCTGCTTTCAAAATAGTTTGAATCTTTTCTCCCTGTGGAATAGACAAACGTTTAAAACATCGAACGTACAGTATCACCACAAATTCATTACGTTCATTTTCACTTAAAAAATAAACAAAAAATAAAGTTTAATTTTGTGTCACATGTACTGATTGCTTACCGTCACAGCGACATCATCATCGACGAGAATCAAAGTTGAGTAAACGCAAGCGAGTTCTGCTTTAGTAGTCATGTTTACTGTTTGTGTTATAAATACTGGAGCTGGATGGGATAATTATATTGGTGCAAGTCGCCGATTTAGCCTTAGCTCCACGAAAGAGAACAAGCACCGAATCTTCCACCTTCCACTTAATCCAGCTAACAGGAAAAGGAGGGAAGTGGTAGGAAATCACGTGATATATAGGGATCTACCATAGGGAGAACGTGCGCAGTGGAACCAACAATGCGCAGTTTTCTATTGGTCGACGAACAATGTAGTAAATGAAAAATCGGGGGATGACGCCATGCATCGCGTGGACGTAATACTCGATTACTCGTGCTGATATCGAAGTTTCATGCGATTCCTCGTTGAATATCGCTGATCGATTAGTGAGATACCTACGTAATCGTGCCAGTTTGGTGTTTTTGCGAACGTCGAAGCATTCGAGTTTCTTCCCAGTTAGAAAAGTGCGTGTCAAAGTGGTTGCCGCACGATCGTTCGTCCCGTACTTATGTTTCGTTTCCACATACACGTTGGGTAATGTGTTTCCGCGATACGTTGCTATGTAGCACCGGCGTGAACGATGCGGCGGCGTATACCGCGGTCGCATGTTAAAAGGATGCCGCCTACGGGAGCGATGAGAATGGCGCGCAAATGTTGCGTGCGTAACTGCGAGGCCGACGTGCAGGATGCGCGTGCTAGAGGGTTGCCGCTACACAAATTTCCGAAAGACACCGGCCTGAGGAACAAATGGTTGGCCAGCGGCGGTTTCGACGAGAGCTTCAAGCCTTCGCCGGCCCAATTTATTTGTCACAGACATTTTAAACGAGCCGATTACGAAGCCGCTAAAGGACAGAAATTACTTCTGCGTAAAGGCAGCGTTCCCTCGGTGTTTTCCAACTACGATAATCATCCCGGTGCGTATTATTTCCTTCTCGTCTCTTCTAGAACACTGTCAAATTATCAAATTTGGATGTCGGAAAGCTTTATTTTACACGTGTTCGTAGGGTTCTCATCCGGTTTTATTTCTCTCGTTACTACCGTGTACTGTTTATTTCGTCATCTTTCGCTATCCTACTAAGCTCATTTTTTATCGAACATACACAGTGTCGTTCAATTTTTTTATGTTTGTTCATTGTGATATTTAAACACGTGAACTTGAGCAATATTTTTAAATATCTAAACCATTTCATTTATTAGGAAAATAATAATTTTCTTACTTTATTACATTCATTACTTCTCTTATAGATCCTGTAATTATGTCTGTGAAATCGTCAACTTCGTATGCTCAAGAAGATTTAGATCTTATCAATTCTGAGATTTTAAACTTGGAACAATCTGTACCTCAGTTAAATTCAGATGCCAGAACACCAAAGTCTGATAGCTGCGAGGAAACTTGTTCTTCTCGACCGGAATCATCAATTGACTCCTTCAATTTGTTGGATTCAACAGACGTAGTCGACAATGGATGTAAAACTTCAAATTCGAAAGAGACTGAATCTACTGCGAAACAGGAGTCAGAGATACAAGTAAATACTGTGGCAGTACAATTAGGAATTGTCGAGTCTAATGATATAAAACACACACAAAAGGATTTAACTGTTAAAGAAGAATTGAAAACTATTAAAGTGGAAGAAAAAAAAGTGTTTGACAAACCAGAAGAATTGAAGCCAAAAATTTTTAATAGAGGCGGATTGAAATTTTTTCCTGGAGCCAAATTAGAAGCAAAGGATTTCAATGAAAAATGGTAAATTAATTTAATCATTGAAATATGAAATGAACAGTGAAGTGAATTTTTGTAAATAACTGTACAATGTTATGTTACAGGTATACAGCAAAGATCGTTGAAACTGATTGGGATGAAAGGGAAGTGCTGATACGTTTCGACAAATGGAGTACGAGATTTGATGAATGGATACCTATGGATAGTTCTAGATTGCGTGTATTGCAAACACAATCAAAGTAAGTAGACATAATTCAATGAATATCTGCGACGAAGTTACCCGAATTAATAGAAGCAGAAAATAAATAATTTTCTACACAAATAATTTTCGAGTTGATTCTTTGTGTAAATTATATTTCTTCGTTACTTACGGACCTATTCTTTTTTTAAAGCGAACAAATCTGGAATGTGCCATCTCCGTAAGTGAATATAGTATGATTATTAAATAGGTGGTGGATGTAGGGGATTTTAGAATGTTTTCTGTATAATTATTATAAATAATATTCAATGACATTGATTGCAATAGTAGTAACAAACTTTTTCTTTTAATTTTATGATTTTTCGTAATGTTTAGCTCATAAATACTTGTAGTTTCATTATTTAAGTTACAGTACTGAAAAAAGGAAGAAACTTTTCTGTTATAACAGCAAGAACTCAATTTTCAACAGAATATCCTAATTTACATGTAGATACTATTTTGCAAAATATTTTGTATAGCACTTTATCTTTACTTGATATCGGTTCGTTAAAGTATTTTCTCTTTCATAACGATAACTGTTGAAGTATTTTTTGTTTGCTATGAATATAGTATAAAGTATAGGATCAGCATAGGTTTCAAAAAGAGAAATCTATAAGAAGACGCATTTATAGAACGCGCGTAAAATTTTTAGCAGACGTTAAATAATTAGACAACGAGATCGCTGTTTGTAAGAGAAACTGTTTCTTTGGTACAATTATTTTTATTTATATATTATTACGATAATGGTCGACCATATTTTTTAATATGGTAATAGATCGATTTAAATCCCTTAGGGAAGCAAAAATGAAAGACTTTTCAGTGGGAGAAAGGATACTTGCTACGTGGGCCGACGGCAGAAAGTACCCAGCGAAAGTGAATGCCGTGTTGGGAAACGGTAAGCTCGATCTAACCTTAACTAAGTAGGTGCGATATAACTAGCTATATTATTAGTTTGACGTTTCTTGATAAGGCACCTTTCTGACTCGCGAGAATGGTGCCCTTTTAACTTTTAATTACTTTTATAGATAGGTACGATGTTCTGTTTGATGATGGATACGCGAAGACTATTAAATCGTCGAAAATGACAAAAATCGCTAATACATCGACAAAGGTATAGTTATCGCAGTTAGGTTATGTTTTATTTATCATTAATATGAAATACAGTCTGCTATAATTACATATTTTTCATTCATCATTATTAGAAAGTGCTCAAACAAAATCAGGCCTTCAATTTATTTCATTAGTTTCATTGTTGGCAAAAATAAAAATTGAAGGACATGTATTTTTACAATCTTGTGTTTCATTTGGAGAATGAGTAATTAATAATTTAATGAACGTGCAGTATATGTTTAATGTATATTGTTTAAACCTATAATATTGCTGTAATGAATAACATTTATAAATTCCATATGGTTTTACCTGTTACAGCAATCTAGTCAAAACGAAGATTACATAGGAAGCAAACAGGAAAGGAGAGACAAGAAAAGGAAGCATACAGTAATGGAGTTGTTTCATACGCATTCTAGAAAACGTTCAAAAAATGATGCAGATAAATCAGCAAAAAAGGAAGCAGCCCCAGTTAATGATAATGGAGACTATTTCTCATTGTCAGATAATAAAATCGATTTGGATGGTACCATGTTTGGAGCTTGTTATGATCCAGGCACAGATTTGTTAAGGGGATTTGATACTAACGTATCGAAAATGAAAACTTTACCTAAGAAGAATAAAAAAGAGATACCTAAGGTCGAGGTAGATCAGTCAGATGATGTGGGACCTGAATGGATAGATGGAGAGCCTCAGGGGACCGAATCTTACATAGTAGATGGGAATGATGGTACGCTGAAAGGAAAATAGAGATTTTTTTGCAGTTCTTTTTACATTTGACTTTTGCAGGACCACGTCGTTCGATAATAGTTGAAGATAAACGATTACCACCCGGATGGCAGAAGCATTTTACTCAAAGAAAAGCTGGTACCTCTGCTGGAAAGTGGGACGTCTTATTTCTTCATAAATCGACTGGGAAGAAATTTAGATCTAGAAACGATATTAGGGTGTTCATGGAAAATCAGGGTCAGTTCGATTTCGATCCTGAGAAATTCGATTTTTGTATTCATCGAAAAAAGAGAAATCAAAACCAAAAAGTAAAACAAGAAGTTGTCGCTGAAACCCCCAAAAAGATCAAGACTTTATTACCTAAATCGAAGGCAACACCAATAACTGATAATTCATTGGCAATTCCTCCCAATATACCTGTTACAACTTTAGTCTCTTCTTCGACTACGTCGATTACAGATGGTGGTAAGATTCCATTTGTCTATTTAAACTTTATATATCTTATCGTGTCTTATTGAGTTTATTTTTCATGCTTACTTTCATTAGGAGTAATATATTGTAAGTACTAAAGGATAGTAGATTTTACAAGCAAACATAATGTGTTAAAATGTTCTTTTAAATATGTGAATTGTTACACGGTTAAGGAGATTATTTTTCATTTGTTAACAGCTGTTTTTATCGGTGGACTTCGAGTAGAAATGGAGGATAGCGCTTATAAATGTCCGAAAGAGGGATGTAATAAAACATTTAGGAAGGAAAACCTTTTGCAGATGCATATAAAACACTATCATCCAGAGTACTCGAAATTTTTGGGGTCCACACCGAATGTTGCTGATCTGGCTTATGCGAGGACGATCGGAGAGTCGGTCGAAGATATTATACCGAAAAAATCGAATAATCTGTTAGAAAAATGTAACAAACTTGGCAAAAGAAAATCTATTCAAGATAAATTATATGCTTCATCGCCCTCGGTGGCGAGTACTACTGCGCCTGTGTCGCCGACAATAGTTGGACCGGTAGTAGAGACAGAGGACGAAGTGGACCAAATAGAAAGATGCAACGATGTACAAACAGAAGACATCAGGATGGATAGAATGTCTCCAACTTCTAGTCACAGTTTAGATATGGACGATGAAACTGATAAAAAACGAGACGACACGTGTGCTATGTCGCCTAGTACGTTATTCGATATGAAAGTCAGAGAAGAAAAAACGCAAAGCGGCATTAAAACTCTTCTCCCAGTGAGACCAGCTGTAGCTTCAGATGCACAGAGAATCGACAGATCAAAATCTCTGGATGAAACTCATATTGATAAAATGAAAGGCCAAAGGAAACGACAGTTATCAGAATATAGCTCTGATTTGTTAAACAGGAGTAAGAAAAGACACGGTAATTATATGACAATTATCTTTGCACGCTTTGTCATATTAGATTTATAAAATATATGTGTTGCGACAGGCATTCAAGAATATACTGATGAATATGGTGATATGGATGATAGTGGTATGGACACGGAAGGTCCTACTACGCTCATGTACAGATATAGTCGCAGAAAATCAGATTCAAGAAGTGATGAAAACAGTCAGAGTAGTAAGCTTCATTTAGCGTATCAGTTTTAAGTTTGAATAATTTTCATGGTTACTAAATTTAGTTTTCATTCATTCATTTCTGTCTTATATACAAGTATTTCACCATTTTATTATTTTATTATTTAGGTCAACTAAACGATTCTCGTGTTGAAAAAGATGATCCCTTGAAAGGGGATGGTAAAAAAGATACAGTTGACGGGGAAGGTATATGTTTTCTTTTTTTCTATGCTTTGCTTTATTGATTTCTTTCATTAATTTTGGGTTTAATTTGTAATATAATTTAATCAGATGTTTTTGAAATATCATATTGAATTGTGTATGAACTACATGGAGTAGTTACTTTTTTAATACATTAAGTATATATTTTTGTAGATAATGAAGGTGTAATGATGATGATTAATGGCGAAATGGTAAAAGTGGAACAGCTTCGTAGAGAAGAGATAATCAATTGCACTTGTGGATACATGGAGGAAGATGGTTTAATGATACAATGTGATCTTTGTCTGTGTTGGCAACACGGTCATTGCAACGCAATAGAAAGAGAAAAGGATGTACCTGAAAAATACGTTTGCTACATTTGTCGGAATCCGTATCGGCAACGACAATCCAAAAAGTATTTCCATGATCAAGATTGGATAAAAGAAGGAAAACTGCCAACATTGCCCAATCGAACGAAAAATCAGCATCGAGTTAACGAAAGGACAGCCATGTTAAAGCGTTCTTACGATTTGATTGCTGCTCTTCTACACATACAACAAGTTTTGCACAGTTTACGAGTGAAGATTAATGTCGCACAGTAAGTATTATCAGAATTTTACAAAAATATGAAAATAAGAGTACAGTGATTAAGTGTAGTGAAATTCGTGTGCAGAAAAAAGGATCATCCAAAATTATACCTTTGGGCCAAAAATTGGGAGAAGATTGAAGTATTAAAACCAAGTACATCGCCAGTACCAATCATGGAAGTCGCGAAATCGGGAAAAGATTTTGTGGATATACCTAGCGATGTCGACATAAAGTTAGAAACAAAATTCACTTTGAAAGATGATCCTGATGAAAAATCGATAGCGTCGGATTCGGAACTAATGAAAATATTAGAAGAAGATAACGCAGCTATGGATGAATCGAAAGTTACACCTAAGAAAGAAGAACTTGAACCTCAAAGTAAGAGTCACATTCTTCTCGATGCCCTTGCAAAGAATGATACCTCTGAAGGGAAGTTGAAAAATTCATTACCTTCAGAGGTGAAAATGGATACAGGTAAAAGCGAATTTTATATTTCATATTCTCATTATAGCGATATCATTATATTCTTATCGTTTGCTTATATAGGTCTGTTGACTAACGAAAGTAACGTGTCTGAAAATAATGTATCGACGTCGACGAATCATGAAGAAATGAATGATAATGAATTGTCGACACCATTGCAACCCTTTATACCGCAACCAGAAGCGCCGATTGACCCAGGAGAATGCCGGATGAGATTGTTAGAACACATAGAAGATTTTCAAAATCATATAGACGCAAGATTGACATATATCGAGGCACAAGTTTGTGGTTAGTAAACTTAATGTAATTTTGTATAATACAAAATGTATAATACTTAATATTTATTATACTCTTACATAGCATTGGAAACTATGGATCCTGAAGATTTACCTACCTCAGATGTTCAGCCTCGAACTAAACAAACGATTCAGATGCTTCTCCGTGATTTAAATACAGTTCGAAAACTAGCTGCTTTATGTTGAGTACAAATTACATAGTTAAAAAATCTGTTTAAATAAAATCTAATTTACGTTTGTAAAAATTCTTACGCAAGTCCCAGCGTTGCTTTCATGATCTTGATTGCTGCTGAAGGGATCTTATACTTCTACTAAGGCCTGTAATCAGAAATATCAGGTGATTGTTTTATATTGTATATATTATAAATATATAAAAATTTCAAGATATGTAATAGTATAACTGTAATGTAAAATAATATTAATTTCTATTTTATATGTAATTACAATTAAATCGATTATTCTATAATAAATTATTTATAATTACATTCAATCTTTATCATCAAGTTTCCGTACTTTCTCAAGCATTGGGAAACTGATTGTTAGGAATGGAAACTGATTATCATTAAGTAGCTGGTAGACAAAGAGAAGTATTCAAATAATCCTAACACAGCAATTGTTTTTATAATAAACGTATATCGGACCCTCTGTTTCAACACAGTCATATCTTAATTTCTGTATACTTTATTTCGTTTTAAGTATAATATTAATTGGTAGAACGAAAATATTTTCAAAATATATCATACATTGAGCGAAGAAGAAGAGTATATTGGTTTATAATACTAAAAATTAAAAAATCAAGTGCATTGCCACCATCATAGTTCAACGCGGTGACGTTAAAGGAGTAGTTATTTAGCGTAGTGGTGTGTATTCACGAAAAACAAAGACAGTGAAAATATTTGCCATATTTAAGAGCAAGAGAGGTATGTGTGCGCGTGTGCGCACGCCTAAGAACGAAGATAGTAAAAGGGAACGTAAAGGAAGGAGAATATAGAGGCGTACAGTAGCAGCAGCAGCACTAGCAGCAGCAGCAAGCAATACGACGGGACGTAGAACGACGAACGACCGCTGCCGTGGTGTTTGGGCTCGGCTCGGTTGTGCCGCATTCGTTATGACGATACGATAATCCAGCGCTTAGCGCTGCGAAACGTGTAGTACATTAGTTGGAATTAGTCGATCGGTGACATTTTATATTTTATCGAAATAATTCCGAAGGAATGTAATAGTGCATTGTTTTTTCTAATCCGGTTGCGTGAACGGCGGTGTTCTTTCGTTGATCGTTTAAAGAGTTCTTTCGTGCGCCATGTGCCATTGCTTCGTGTGTATTTCCTTTCTCCTCGGATCACCGCTCGGTTAAATCATTTTTACGAAACGTATATCACAGTTTACCGTTTACCGGTGGGTCAGCATCTTTTTCGTTCGGTTTTCATTGAAATTGATACTACAGTGATCTTGGGTGTTTTGTGTTCGGTGCGAGTGCGTGGAATAACGTCGTCTCTCTCTCCGCCTGGCGTTCTGTTCTTTTCTTACATTTGGCTTACATACTGAAAGGAACAAGAATAATAACGGGAGAAGCCGAAAAAAGGAGGATAGACGGTGGATTTGCTGAACTCGAGTAGAAAAGATCTCGCGAGGAGCGCAAGTGGCGTATCAAGATGGCGCATAATTTGGCACCGAGCGTCAACTGTTCGCTTGACGACATTGATCTGAATGCTTTGAAGGTATGTAAACGTAAAAACGACCATCGCTTACGTTTTATTTATCGTTCGCGGATGCGGCATTGAACGCTGAATGTTTGATGACGCGCGAGACCTTTTTGTACTTTGTACAACGCGATGATCGGTAATTAACCTCGTAGGAATAAACGATGATTATTATTTCTTGGTAATGCCACGGCGTTAAGTATGAAGGAACGAGACACTAAACTTCTTTGAATTTGTCATGTGCGCATTATTCTTTAAATGATAGAAGCTGAAAACTTCTGTTCGATTGTTGACCCTTTTTCCGTTTTCATTTGCACAAGGTGCTTACAACTTTTATTAGTGATTATTTTTAACAAACGTAACGACATACGGATTTTACTTTGACGCATTATCAAGTACATATGCAAATAAAAATATCGTCGTGATATTCTTGCTTTACCACGCATAAATTTACGTATTTTACATCTTATCCGCTCGTTACTTTTTATCATCTTTAATTTCCGTTTTTTTATTTATAACGTGCACACTATGTGTGTGTAGTGCGCGTTACGTGCGCACACGCACGTAGTACGCATAAGTAATGTATAAACAAATAAGTGCTATGCAATTTATGTCAGTACCCTAGAATAAAGAAAGGAAAATTGTTTTTTTATTCAAGATAATAAGTGAATTACAATTTCGTTTTGTCTGAAGAAAGATTTAAATAAATAAATATATCCTTGAGATTTCGAGACGATCTTTCTCTCGCGTGGAAGAAAGTAAATCGAAATACCATATGTATTTATGTCGCATACGCATGCAAGTATATTTATTTTGCATATGCGTGTATGTTGCAGGAACCAGCCGGTATCTTTGAACTGATAGAAGTTGTTGGTAATGGTACCTATGGCCAAGTTTACAAGGTGAGTAAAAATCCACAAATCGAAGAAATCCAATAGATATAAAAATAGTGAAGTAAGTGAGAAATTGGTTGACCTAAAAGATTGAAGAAGTTGATGAATCAGTTCGAAGAAATTCGAATTGTATTTCTGATTCAGTGTTCGATGCTGAAAAGGATTCGTGTGAAAAACCGGTCTTTCAATAGAAAGATGCATCACGCGGTATTAAAGCGCGTTTATGTATATATGTGTAATTATGTGTTATCAATGAAGTGACAGACAATGATGATATGAAAAAATCAATAAAGATACAAAAACAATTGAAGTCGTGATTGACGCAATTTGTACGGTCATAGAGCAGTATGAATCATTTCTAAAAACTTCTTGGAAAAGGTATCTTTGATCAAGCAGTCGATCTTAAACAGCGTATGCGTTAAAAATCCGTAATCTCAACCGGAAGAATGTAAAAAATGAATCGTGTAAGAAACACGAGAAATTCTAGTAATGCTTTTATGTATTAGAGATTCCTATCTATATTTTTCCCTATAGTTCGAATCATTGTTATGCATTCTACATTATTTAAACAATGTAGACGATTTACTAAGAGTAATTAGTTTTTCATTGAGTTTGTTGCGAAATTAATTTTTCACGTCGATAGGCAACATTATATTCCTTACTTTTTTGTGTTGTGTGATGATAAAGAATAAGGGGGGAATGAGGAAGAGTGCGATGACCTACTATTGATGACGACATAGAACGAATGAAACAGTCGTGCGCATGAGTACAAACGATTAACGCTGTACCGTCAATTCGTACTGGTTCTGGTTCCTCAATTGTTTAAATCATCCGTGGTTACGATAGCCGGGCACTATCGTTTTTAGGAAAAATTATCTTATGCATTTCAAAGTTGCTTGCAACGAATTAGTCGAAAAGATTGTACGAGCGGGGAATCTTGACTGTAATGAATAGCGAGTATACATGTGCTCGATTGCCGTTCCCAGTGCACTACAAATGATTTGATAAAACGTGCATTACGTTACGTTATCGTGTAACAACGTAACGCGTTAATTCAGTAAATAGATTAGTACTCGAACAACATAAATTCTTAGTCAAATGAATATTGATCGTTCAGTATCATTTATTCTTAGCACAATCGTAGAACTAATTAGTTTATCCGATTCAAATGAATCTTGCAATCTCGCTTATCGATTTAATAATGCGCTATAGAATATTGTAACGTCGTGTCGAAAACAAAGGCATTCCGAGATTGTAGGACTTCCTGATTCTCACAGACTGCAGTAGTTTCGTGAGATGGTTCTACTTTTTTTTCGTAAATTGTTGTTCTTCTCCTTGCATTCTTCCAATTGTCATAAAGCGAGATATTAACAGATATTTTAATCTGCTAATGAGCGTATTTTCTTTAAGCCGATGTTATTTAAACGTATAAATTATAGTGTATCATTCCGATCGTATAAATTATTATATCCCAAAATAGAGAAATATTTGAAGATGAAACTAGCCGTACAGTGGGCTGTGAATCAAGTGAGATCGAGCGTATGAATGAATCTAATGAATGGATGTCACTGAATGAACGAATGTCTCTTTCGTGTTTACGTTTCCTTTTGTACTAATATTTCATTATTTCTCGTTATTTTTCATTCTTCGTTACAAGTTAATTATGCATGCGGGTTCGACACGAACCATGGGTGTAGATATTATATTATAATTTTTGTGGAACGCATATTTCAATACACTTTATCAAGATTAGCTTTTATCAAATAACTATTGATATTATTAATGTAATGAAACAACTGTCATTTATTAGATATTTGGTTCCCATTAAATATTCCATTTCGATTCTTCATTCCACAGGGTCGACATACCAAAACTGGCCAACTGGCAGCCATCAAAGTTATGGATGTCACGGAAGTAAGTAATGATCAATTACAATTAATCAAGTAACGTAATGGATATTTGCAAAATTCACAAATCCGGTTTTATTATAAAATGTGAAGCTCGGCCCGTTAATGTTTCAACAAATTGGTTTTGGACGAAGTAGTGACTATGATTGAACACTATGAACTATTTGATATGTAATCGTCTGACTACTTGTATGCTGAATTCATCCATTAGCGGACGTCAGCGTGATTACTGACCTGTACCACTAGCAAACCATAATTTTATTGAATAAAATGAAAATAAACATAGGGAAATACAGCGAACTTAAATTAATAATAATTAATACGAGTGAATTTGATTTATTATTACACTGGTTTGAGATTTTTTATCTCTTAGTCATGGAAAGTTTATCCTTGAGAGACAGATACTAAATATTAAGACGTCATTACACTGTGTCATTAATGGTAATTGTGTAATAATAAAAGATTGATAAGATAATACATGATCATCGTAATTGCGAAAGATAGTAAAACTTTCCTATCGTTTGTTTTAGGATGAGGAAGAAGAAATCAAATTAGAAATAAATGTGTTAAAAAGGGTAAGTACAGGGAGAATGAATTTTTTTATATAAAATGAAATCGAGGATGAACAAAATTACATGCTTTCTTGCAGTATTCGAATCACAGAAATATAGCAACGTATTATGGTGCCTTCGTGAAGAAGTCATCGCCTGGGAAAGATGATCAGTTGTGGTTGGTTATGGAATATTGCGGAGCTGGCTCCGTCACAGATCTTGTCAAGTCAACTAAAGGCCAGAGTTTAAAGGAGGAATGGATCGCTTATATATCGCGGGAAATATTGAGAGGACTTAGTTACCTTCACAGCAATAAAGTTATACACAGGGATATTAAAGGACAGAACGTTTTATTAACCGATAATGCTGAAGTTAAGCTTGGTACGTTGTTTCAGACTCACTGATCAAGAGTTATTTCAGTTATGAATGATTGTCAGACAGTCTGTTATTTAACTGTTATTTCGTTACAGTTGATTTTGGAGTTAGTGCACAATTAGACCGAACAATAGGCAGAAGAAACACGTTTATCGGTACGCCGTATTGGATGGCTCCAGAAGTAATAGCTTGCGATGAAAATCCAGATGCTACGTACGATAATAGAAGTGATCTTTGGTCATTGGGTATAACGGCTTTAGAAATGGCCGAGTCACAGCCTCCGCTTTGTGACCTTCATCCAATGCGAGTGAGTGTCTGAGCATTTCGTTGTTATCGTGCTATTACTACTCTGTTTTGAGAAGGTTTCATTTTTATTGATTACACTTAATTCACACGAAAGGCTTTATTTCTGATCCCACGTAATCCACCACCAAGACTTAAGTCGAAAAAATGGGCGAAGAAATTCCACGGTTTTATCGAAACGGTTTTAGTAAAGGATTATCATCAGCGACCGTATACGGAACAGCTCCTTAAACATCCGTTTATTCGGGACCAACCGACCGAAAGACAAGTTAGGATACAACTTAAAGATCATATTGATCGCTGTAAAAAGCGTAAGCAGGAGAAAGGTAGGAAAATACGTGTGTTAAATTTATAAAATAGAATTATATTTAATCGTTTATTTTGTTGTACAGAGAGAGATGATTATCGATACAGCGGTAGTGAGAACGAAGAGGATGAGCCAGCATTGGCTGGCGAGGCGTCATCGATAGTTCAAGCACCTGGCGGTGACACATTGCGTAGGAACTTCCAGCAAATTCAAGAAGGTAGGACTTTGACCCAAGAAGTAGCTCCGCAGCCGCCTGCTGCTAAAGAGAAGCCGAACAGCAGATCTTCAAGAGACATACCAGAACCGGGGCCACCTGCGCGACCTGCCATTCCACACAGATTAATCGGTGCGTTTAATATTACTAATAGTGGAATTGTACTACACGTATTGACATACAGTTACTATTCGAGTATTAAATCGTTATCTTCAAATGTTACGTATCGTTTTTGCGTCGTGTAGTAGTTCCAGACCCACAACCACCGTCTCGGCCATTACCGCCAACGCCCAGAGATGATCCGCGACAACCGCATAAAGTTTCGACCCCGCCTTCGAATCATCAACCCCTTGTCGGTGGAGGGGGGAGTGGAGGTTCCGGTGGTCAAGCTGCGTCGCAACGGAACAGCCATGTATTTAAACCTATGGTAAGATTTTTGTTTTTTTCTTTTCACACTAATTCTCACCTATGATATCGTATCTCGTCGGCTCTTAGCACATGCCGATAAAGATGAATTTATTACCCTAGTTTATGAAGATCGTAGAACTGTTTTTATGTATTTTGGCCTTCTTGCACTATGCCTCTCATCGACTCCGTATATCGTATTATATACGTGTGTATTATGTTATACACACGTCTCTGTGTCTTTCTTCTGCTACATTCTCATGAACAAATACATATTTGTGCCAGTAGCACGCGTGACTTTCTTTCTATTTTGCTACCAAGTGATTGGCGTGCACGCAAACTTAATCGCACAGTTCCTAGCGCGCGTACATTTAATACCATTTACATACATACATATTACATGATCTTACACATACATACACGTACGAGTTGCATTCGGATTTGAAATTATTTGGTTTTTATTTCTTTCTTTTCATGTTCACACGTACCGTAGCTGCCGCCAAGGAAACCAGAGGTAAGAACACGTACACTTATATTTCTCCCTTCATATACATTTACACGTATTCCTCTACTTACGCGCAATGATTTTAATTGTATCCAGGTGCAATTTGTTTCACAAATGCACACGCTACAATGTAGTCTTGTAATTCGCTTGGCTTATTTCCACGTTAAATGTCAATCCTTCAATTTTCATTTTAGTACACGTTTATCATTTATCATTTGTCATTAGCTTGTCAATGTTTTGTTGACCTAAGGGTAATTGGGTGCTTCAAACAAATTCCTTGAATGTGAGCTTTTGTAGGGGAAAAATGAATAGTTTAAATAATAATAATGTTTATCTACGTTCGTACACTTCGTATTATGAAATAATGTACGCAGTTGCCGATAACAGTAAACGCCTGGGATTTCTTTTTATTATAAAATTACATGAAACGATAATACGTACAGTTTGTTATAGCAACTGATTTATAACTTGGGTATAATTCATGTATAAGATTGAGGTGGATAAAAATCAGCTTGCATCTCTTCTATCGAGTTCTCTTTGCTTCGCCTGGCTGGTTGGTTGGTGGCAGCTTTTAAAAAAGAATTGTGTCGCTGTCTCGGAATAATGACTAACGGGGTTGTGCGTGTGTGCGTGTGGGTGGTAGGACTTGGACATGCTGGCCGCTCAACTCAACGAGCTTGGTGTGTCACAGGGCCCAGAGGCCCCGCCAAGGCCGAACAGGCAGCATAAGGGCCCTGCCGCATCGTCCACCTCGAATTCTGGTCAGCCCGCGAGCAGTAACGATCAAAACAACAAACAAATGCCTCAGTCTTCCAGTACACTCGATCAAGTTAGTATTCTAATCGATCATTCAAGAATTACGCAAAGCGATCGATGTTTTAATTGAAATGTAATTCGTCTTTATGTTTTTGTTAAAAGCCGAAACTGTTTCTTCTGTTTCAGGCTCTGTCGGTTGAGAGCGACAGCGATGATGATCTTGAAGATGCAGGAGGGAACAACGCTAGGAATGATGGCACATTACTTGCTAGCGATCCACCGAAGCCTTTGTAAGTAGATGAAATAACTAACAAACAGATAAAAAAACCAATCAATTATACATAAGTTCATCTAACTAATTTCGTTTGATTTCATCTTTCATTTCATGCTTCGAATCGTCGCCATTCGTCACGCCGCGCGTCATCATGATCTTCTTCATTTTTATTCCCCGTCGGCTGCAGACCCGAATTTTCTCCTTTCAGACCATCCGCGGACCCATCGACGACGTCGTCGCACAATGCCCAGAACTCGCACCTCGAAGGTAAGCTGAAAGGTACGACATCCAGTTTTTTATCTTTCCCATAAACGGAGATACGTATAACTTCTAAAAATCGTTTACAAATATGAAAATGATACGCGCTTCATAATGTGTATAATACGAATGAAATTCTTAATGTCAATTTCACTCGGGACTATTTTTTCAATTGCTCATTGTGTAAACAAATTTTTTTGTTGCACACAGGCGGAGCGCCAAATCGACCACTTCCGCCGACTCCTGACGAGGAAGAATCAGGAGATCGTACGCTAGTCATGAAACGGGTAAGTAGACTTATATATCTGTACGGAATAATGCAAGTCAACGTAACATTCTTTAGCGCCTTCTTGTCGTTTTTTATGTGTATTGAATAATGAACACGGATCGATTTACGTACACCGATTGTAATATTTTACGTCTGTGTTATTTATTATTTCCATTCTCATAGAGCATTCCATGTATTCTTTTTATTCTCTCCGTTCTTGATTATGCTTCAATTGAACAATAAAATGGAAACGGAAAAGACGAAGGAAATACGAAGGATTGCGATGTATCTATGAATACGTACATATAAATTTATATCTGTTGTGTTGTATGTCTATTGATAGTTGGAAACAAGTCAGAAATATTTGTCCATCTGCATCTTAATTACTCTCGTGCAATTCTAATGCACTAAGTTGCCTGTACATTTGCTGTTTTCATTCGATCATACGACTGATGAGTATGTGTTGCCACATGTATATAATTATATAGGATGTCCCAGGGCCAGTGGTACGGAAAACTAGGGAGTGAATCTATATGTAAAAATAAGCCTAATTTTTGCACGTAAAATTACTCTGTCCGTTTGTGCTATTTTCGTCCTGGGATGTTCTAGCATATACATACACACATATGCTGCTATAGCGCAGTGGTGAAAAGAAGTCGGCGAAATCAAGAATTAAGAGTATGGACTTGTCAAATGCAGTAAAAGATTCGTTTGAATATTTCTTTCAGTAGTTGGGCAAACAGTAGGATCTCGGTTCAAGCTTTATCTAGCTTCACATTTCTCGTGGACTATGATTATTTCACATAACATCGTACAAATTACGGTAGATGTTATCATTTTTTATCTCGCTTCGTATGGAACCGGTGTCACCACTACGTTAAGAAAGTAAATAACATCGATCAATTGATACATACACTTGATCGCAATGCACTGCCAATATCACATTAAGCTAGTCCGCGTTTCTTATACCACCGCACGCTAAATCATTATACTTCATTTTCGTGTGAGTGTTTCTTCTTTCTTTTTTTTTTTGTCATTTTGATTATCACCCTGGTGCGCGCCTCCCTTAGAAACTTAGTCAGATGTCAGACGATCGCGGCACCAATGGCAACAACCGACGATCCGAGGCTGACGAGCAACTCCTATTGAAGGAGTGGGACTTCACCCGCTTCTTCCAGGGTTTTAATGAAAGGTTGGATAAAATAAAACAGGAACACCCTGTGCAAGAACCCGCGGAGACGAACAACAAGTCCGAGGATCATTCGTCGTCGTCTTCGGACAAAACATTAAGGAGGCAAGAACAGTTGTCATCGCGTAGTAGAAAGCACGAGAATCATTCGCAACAGCAACAGCAACATCATCATCGAAAGCAACAGCAGCAGCAACAGCAGTTGAAAGCGGTGCACAGACGACAGGAGAGCGACTCGAAACTTGGCAACACGTCCAGCGCTTTCGCGCGTGCTTTCCGCCGCGAGAACTCAGACTTCTTCCCATCCACAAGACACTCCGCATATTTACAGAAGTCGGACTCGTCGAGGTCGAGTATATTCTCGAGTGGTAATAGACGTGGCAGCGAAATAAGCGTCGTCGGAATCGCTGGTAAAAAGGGAAACGCTGTCAGCACCGGTGAACCGGTGCTAACCGACTTTGCGTTCGGACGAGACGGTCTGCAGAGGCCTCGACGAGAGAAAACCGAGAGCGAAATTGTTTTTGGTAATAGACACGAGGGGAGAATGTTCGACTTCGGACGCGATAAAGACGACACTACGAGAAGACGCAGTTGTAGACCATCAGACGCGCTTTCTGCCGCGGTTGACGAAGCGGGAACTATTAAGTCTACAGCCAGTACAACGGCTAGCGAGTACAGCCCCATTGTCACCCAGGTCAGTCCCCCCTATGAGCCCTGCCTGTGTGCTTGCCTGAAAGATATATACACCTATACTGCATTACCTTTATTCTATACCTTCGATTTCTTTCACCGTCGCGTCAGTTCTCATCGTCCGGGTACTTATATTCATCAACACTTCCGACAGCTGTCCGTCGATATATTTCCTCGAACTCTAATCATTGCTTTATAAGAAATTGATAACATATTTGATTAAGTATCATAAAATCTGATAGGGATTTGTTCGTCCGATTACAACACTCAATTCATTTAAGAGTTCGAATTTAATGTAAATAAATAAATCGAATTAGATCAGTTAACTTGCTTGTTAAATATAGGCATATCGACGGACAGATATTGTCATTGAACCTTTATACCCGTTCTTTCCAACATCTAACGGCATACAAAAATGAACATAGAAAGCTAGTCAGCTACGCTCGAATTTTAGGCGCATTTTCTTCTTACCTTCCTGGTCTTTATTTTTCTCAGATTTAAAGACATAAGTAGGATACGAAACTATTAGCGCTATCAGTACTATTAACTCTCCTACTATTTTTACTAGATTATTTGTTCGAACAAAGTTCGTACGAAGCTTTATAGAGAACTGTTAGAATTATTAATAATAATTTACCGATGAAGTCGACAAAATATTATTCTGTATTATTAATAATCTAACATCGTTATTGTTGTAACTGAGGATAGGGATTATCTTCTGGTTAACACTATCTTATAATTCTGCTTTTTGTGCGAAACATTCTCATATTATTTGTTACTTAATGTTAAAATAACGCGTTAACCATTCTGAGAAATTTGTTAATTAAATTTCCATTTATACTACTATGTCACTCATAACATGATTTCATGTTTAATCCTTTGCTACGTAACATCCGTTACAATACTTGAGAGGAAAAGAGAATACATAAAAACTGTATAAGTAGCAAAGGGTTTTACAAACAGTTAATATTAACTTTTATGCTACTACTGTTATTACTAATTATCGTCATCGTTGTTAATGGCAATAACAAATGTAAATAGCTATAATTAATCATGCTTTCATTCTATTGTAACATGGTCAAGATTTGCTGTGACATAAGAATAACTAAGATAATGAATACGTATTTCATCGGTTCTTATTTATAAAGTATCACTAACTTCGTTGCAATATTTTATAATCTTATTTGAAGTGAAAAAAAATAAAATAGTTGCTCTTATAGAAATAAAAAGTAATGGTTTGCAATGTTTCCTGAAGATGAAGTTAGTGAAACGATATATGCATACGCGTTTTCATTAATAAACTATTAAATTATCGTGTAAAAACTACTGCGGTAACTTATGAAATACTTTAGAAGTATGTAATCCTGAACGCAATTAGGCTTGGGTAAGGTGTATGGAAAAAAGTGGCTTTATTTGGAAGAGTTCTAACATTCAAAATGTAACACTTCGATCAGAACGCGCTATTTCTAGAGCAAGGAAACATCACCCACTAACACACATCAATATATCATCGTCAAGCATCACCGTCTCGCCACAGCTACTCCGTTTCTTTTTAGAACTAATCCCTTCCTTCCTTTCGAGTGATCTACGTTTGATTAGTACGCAGAGAAACAGAGTAAAAAAAAAAGACTTTATCGTTGGGACGATTATTGTTATTTCGAATTCCCGAGAGAGAAAGAGAGGAAGATTAACCGCATGGAATTTATTTGAGAGGATGTCGTCCGTCCTGTTCCTACGTTACATCGTGTGAAGGGAAACTGCTAATTACACTACGATCGCCGCAACGAAGCATCGCGGGATTCGGAAAGAGAACAATTTCAAAAATGAATTTCAAATGCAAAAGTGTGTTCCGTATACGTGCATACTACGTCCTCACGCATTTCTACGCAGGTTCGACATTCATTTCATCGTCGTGGATCAGTTCTTCTTCATTTACTTTCTATTTTCGTTTTCTTGTACAACGAATTTCATAAGTGCGATTCATGTTCAATGGTCCTTGGATTTTCACATCTACTGTTTTTTTTCAGTCTTCACAGGTTTCTCGATTTTCGCATTAAAAAGATGTACAGGATCAATCATCGGAAGTTAATTTAATTTAATTGTCAACACAGTTATATGTTCAGTTCAGTTCTGTATTTTTAGAACAACATAGCGATCAAGTGTCTTTTTCTTGCTTTTTGCATGATTAAAATCTCGAAACATTTATGTTCCTTTCTCTGTTGTTTTAACAATGGGAATTGAAAGTGCATGTTTTTTATTCAAGCATCTGTTGGTTTCAACAATTCTCAAGTTCAATTTATGTCGCGATAGACTTTCACGAATGTATCTTCACGAAAGATTTTCAAGTGTTTTTTATATCAAGAGGGGAGGAAAGAAAGACATGAATCGATTAATACATTGCTGTCTACAGATATCGATTCTATCACGTAATTCCTGCTTCTTTTTATTTCGTGAAAAGAAATTAAAATATTGATTGCAAATAAATATTACTAGTTTGTATGAATGAAACTTGGACAGCAATGGATTAAACGTCAGAATGAAGTGTTAATTGTGCAATTAAAAAGTATGTACAACTTGAGTTAGAACATAAGAAAAGGAAAAAGAAGAAAGTATTCGAAAAAACTGAAGTACGTGTGTGTGTGTACACGTATATGTATAGACGTCAACGTCGAATGCATATTTATTTAGCTTGCACATATTTTTGCGGTAGCTGTGATACGTAAATCATGATCGAGACCACGTTGTCTTGCATGAAGCTTTCGTTTTATTTAAATGTATGTAACTTATGTAAATGCTGTGCGCGGCATGTGCCAGGCATGCTTTTTTATGTTACATGTTCCTTTGGCATGGTGTGAGCTGTGTTTTTTATTAACGTAATTCATTGAAACCGATTGTGCTAAAAGTTATTTAGCTTTGAAATGAAAAACTGACTTGGTCCGAAATACGTCAGAAGTGTTTCCAATCCCTATATTTTATGTGTATTTTCAATATTCAATACAATATAAGCGATGATAAATTATTCTTCACAAGCATTTAAGGAAGCATCATGCGGGCAATAACTGGCAATCAGAATTGTGTGATAAATTCTTATTTGTTATAATTTTAAAAGAAGTTAGGATAATTATTGCTGCGTGTCAAATAAATGTATCTCTCGTGATTAAGTTATTTGTATCTCGCAGTAAAATGAAATGTATATCGTGATTGTAAAGTATGATGCCTTTAGTAATTGCGTTGTTGCGTTTAGTTTAAAATAGTTCAAGTAGTAATGCAGCATTTAGAGGATTATATTTTCATGTACTTCATCCCGTTGCACGCTTGTTACTAATGTTATAGATATAAGAAGACCTTACAATTGCTTATTCTCTGCTTTGATTATTATTTTAAAAATGTGTTCCGTTATAGGTATGTTACTAGTAGATAAATGAAACGTATAGAATTTATTATTGATGATTAATTTGTTATGCATGAATTCGGTACATCTATGTTTCGCGCGATATATTTAAGTATATAAGAATTTTATCTTTTATTTTTGTATGCGAGGAAGAAGAAATCATTTATTTTTCTCGGTTTGGACTGGCAATCCAATTATTTTATGTAGTACATTGTATTATCGTGTACTTACACTCTCTGTTGCACTCTCGCACTCTTATCATGTTTTTATGTTATTTTTTCGCTTGTATTTTCAATGCTGTTGTTCACCCGTCGTGCTCATTTTCCATAATTTCATTGTGTACCACCCCTTTTCATACTGCGTTCCCTTTTGCCTCTTTCAATTCTTGAAATCTTTCAAATATTTGTTTCATCGCAATCTGCTGGTTCGTGTTAAAACCTGAGTTTTAAATGAATTTTAGAGATACTTGCGAGCAAGTTTCATTGAATTAATTTAATCTATACAAAATAAAGAAACAAAGAGCAAACACGCTAAAGTTTGCAATTTACCTGGAAGCATTTCAGGATTGAATAATTTGTCTTCTCCGTATTAATATTTTCTGCAATCAATGCATAAGTAAAAATAAAAGTTTACTAATTTAATAGTTCGCCTCTAATAAAAATTCAGGTCTTAAAGCGATGACAGTTATCCTTTCCTGTTGCTGTTTGCTTTTCTGATTGAAATTAATTATCGTTTTAAATAAATTTATACGTTTATAGAATCGAGAAGGCGATCGCTCGAGAGGCGGAGGCAGCGGTGGCGATTTTCAGAGGTCGGATTCTTCCCCCGGGTCACGGCCCAGTTCCGTCTTACCGGACCTTCTTACCTCGTCACCGGGTCAACGACAGGATAAATCAACCAGCGAGGAGGTCAGATACATGTTAAATTTATTCACACCTCTCCATCTTTCGTCTCTTTTGTACATATACGCGAATGTGCAAATCTCCACGCACTTAGGCTCGTTGAACACGTTTGCTACATGGGGATCATCGTGATCGCTAATTTTGTGTTTACTCTCACGATGGTATATACATGTATGTGCCTCGCGTAAATAATTAATCCTGTTCAAGAAATAATCACGAACGTCGAACGAAAAAGATAAGTGAAAACAAATACGAGGAGCTAACAAAGCATATTTTAGAATAATTATTAATTGCTCATTGTATATTTATTTTGCCACGTTCTTGTATAGCTCCGTTCGGCTACATTGTTTTCTTCTTCCTTTGCTTCGCTTCGACGCACTTCTGCCTTAATGAAATCCACATATGCAATATAAAAAAGATTCATGATACGTTTTACAATATCCTCTGCAGGATATTGATAAGTATATTTTATTTTACACGAATTTGAACATATATATATATATATATATGTATATTTCACTCATTTGCACATAGTTTAAAATCACGCAGTACTTGACTTCGTAAGGATAAATATGCGAAATATTTTACCTTCTTGTCTTCGATTATTTTTTTTAAATGAGGAACGAATTATTTTTTTGCACCTTCAGATTACATAGTAGAATTCCGCTTTTAGAGAAAAAAATAGGAAGTATGTTTGATTGTTTCGCTTAATAGTAGTGCTGTATTTTTCATTTTGTAACTTTCTTCATTTTGTATGTTTCGTCGTAGTTGCTATGTATAATTGGATCTTTAACAGTCATACCTGTTATTATATGTTGTTTAACATTTACATTGAATAATTGAAAAGAAAACGCTACCTGAGTATCTGTCATTCATTAAATTGTAAGGAAGAGAAGTTATAATGGTTTGAACTGATTGAAAGATTAATTCGAGAAGTATGTTCTATCAAATATCGCGCAACTATCAAGAACAAGTGCATTTTCTGATTAATGATAATTAATCTTGGGCCATTCGATTCGCTATTTTACTAAGAAAAAAAGAACAGAAAAATAAAAATCCGCGTGATCAGTCCCATTACGTTTGTCAGCGTGACTAATTCAGGATTCTGTTGTGTGTTGTGGGACGCGTGGGAGCTCTAATCAGAAGAGCAGGGCCCTTTCTACTGACCATCCCAATCCCAATACTAATTACAATGTAAGTATTCATTCGATATCGATTTACAATTCAGTGTTGCTTCTGCCTCCTCTTTAGAACAAACGTTTCTCCGCGTGCAAAGGAAAAAAAAGACGAACGCAACAAAATCCTCTAATATGTTTTTCTTAACTCTCTCTTCACCGTGCATCGTGCATGGGATATTGATATTTTCTCACCCACTATACCAGTAGTTGGTTCTCGTTTTGGTTTTGCGGGCCCTTTCACGAGTACACACTCTGCAAGTCAAACGAATTTCTAATTCGATCGCAATTACAGTGCTCTCATTTTCTTTTCCCTCCTTTGTTGCATGTTTGTTCACTCTCTTTTCTTTGTTCACGTCCTCTGCTTACTTTTTACTGTTCGTTTTACTGCCTCGTTATTTTTCTCTGTTATTTGTTCCATGAAGCTCCTGAGATTGTGGAGCACAAAAAATGGCAATGTTTCAGTTCTATTCTGCATCCAAGATCAGTAATGTCTCAGACTCTTCTGTTGTACATTTGGTTATTTACTCTTATCTTCTAGTGTTGATTCATTGCATGTTATTAGATAGTCCTTAAAAATTCTCTTTTATCGGTAGCCCTATCGATTACCACGGTACTTTGTGTTTATTAATCACAATATATTTACTTGATGGTACATTATCGATTCGCACTGTCTGATTCCTAAATGGCCCTAATCTCAAAGTATTATTTGTTTCAGTATCGGCAAGCGGTTAAATCAGCGCCTCCATTTGCACTTCAACAGAAACAGAGATCTTTCCTCACGTTTGGATTTGGTGCTGGCCCGGCTAGAAGGGAATCTCATGTAAATGTCAACGTCACTCCGACCAGCCACGATCTCGCGTCTGACACGCCGGAAATTCGCAAATACAAAAAACGCTTCAACAGTGAAATTCTCTGTGCTGCTCTTTGGGGTGAGCATACAACAGCATATATTTGTGTTTTACTGTACACGTATGATTTAACCGACCATACTTTTGTATAGGAGTGAATCTGTTAATTGGCACGGAAAATGGTCTCGTACTGTTGGATAGAAGCGGTCAGGGCAAAGTGTATCAATTAATAAGTAGAAGACGATTTCAACAAATGGAGGTCCTCGAGGGACAAAATATTTTGGTTACGATTAGCGGGAAGAAGAATCGAGTACGTGTATATTACCTCTCCTGGCTTAAAAGCAAGATCCTACGAACGGATGGTCACAGCGACGTAAGTGTTCTTTGTTTTTACTTCTACGTTTATTTATTATAGCTTGCTAAACAATATTCATAAAAATATATATAGCAAGTCGAACGACGCAATGGTTGGATCAATGTTGGCGATCTGCAAGGCGCGGTGCATTTTAAAATAGTTAAATACGAGAGAATAAAGTTTCTCGTTATCGCGTTGAAAGATTCCATAGAGATATACGCTTGGGCGCCGAAGCCTTATCACAAGTTCATGGCTTTCAAATCGTTCGGTGAACTGGCGCATAGGCCACTGCTCGTCGATCTTACCATCGAGGAAGGTACAAGGCTAAAAGTGATTTACGGTAGCGCCGACGGATTCCACGCTGTTGATCTGGACTCCGCTACAGTTTACGATATTTATTTGCCAAAACACGTAAGGATCTGTTTGACTGATGAATTATCATAATTGTCTTACCGTCATGAATTGAAATGATGGATTTTTGGTTGCAGACTCAGGGACCGATTTGTCCACATTGCATTGTCGCATTGCCTAACAGCAACGGCATGCAGTTATTGTTATGTTACGATAACGAGGGTGTGTACGTAAACACTTACGGTAGATTATCTAAAACTATGGTCCTCCAGTGGGGTGAGATGCCGACCAGTGTCGCGTACATCGGCACGGGACAAATAATGGGCTGGGGTAACAAGGCCATTGAGATTCGAAGCGTAGAAAGTGGGCATCTTGATGGCGTTTTCATGCACAAGAAAGCTCAGCGGCTCAAGTTCCTTTGCGAGCGTAATGATAAGGTACGTGTCGCCAAACGCAGAAATTAATTAATATATATAGAATTACAAGTAAATGAATTTTGAATTGTTGTTTGTTCAGGTATTTTTCTCGTCGGCAAAAGGCGGAAGCGCGTGCCAGATTTATTTCATGACATTAAATAAACCTGGCATGGCTAACTGGTGATCCCGAGTGTGGCCAGATCTGGCCCCAAAATTATCATTACGAATGAGGACAAGAAATCCTCCTCGTGACGTTTCGAAACGCGTATCATCGCCATTCATGTCGATTCGCTTTTCACTGCCAGGATCGAACGCGACAGAAAGAAGCGGAAGCGAACACTGTTTGTATCGGAGTTATCGACATTATCAAAACCACGTACAGTCTAATTATAATTATCATTATCATTATCGTCATCGACACTGTCGTCGCCTTAGTTATCATCGTCGACGGCGTCGTCGACGGCGCGATCACTGTTATCGTCATCGTCAACGTCACCATCACCACTACTACCATCAGCATCATCATCATCTTCATCAATATCATCATCATGATTACCATAACTACTATCATTTTTACTCACAAAACCATTATAATCGATATCGATATGTTTGCTCGAGTAATTGCACGCTAAAGGGGAAACCACAAATACTCGGTGAAACGTCTCGAGAACTGTTGAAACTGTTTTCGCAGCGCGTACAAGGTAAGCTAGTATTCGTGAATCGATTCTTGAAAAGATTTCTCCGCTTTTTTAACTATTCATCTTACGCGATACAACTTGGCGTATGAGAGAAAGAAAATGAAAATGGTTCCTTCTGTACCGTAACATCTCTCTTGGAGAGTAAATAAGAATAAGGTACGTGCACAAAATTATATTTTAACCATTCACTCACGCATTCATCTTGTTACGTACATGAAAAATGTTTCAAAGATAATTGTTTTAAAAAAATCGAATTCCCAACTTTTCGTCTACACTGTATGATTTATTGGTTGCCTGCAATGAAACTGATTGTTCCGGTAAGGGAAAGATATTGTACAATACCAATGCTTTCGTCTACGCGAACGAAAACACTTTCCGTAATAGTAACAAGTGGCTGAAAACTTTTCCATGATACTAGAGGGGAAACGCAAACTATTTCGATAGCTCCAAGTGCAAATACGCGAGCAAAAATACGCAATGTGAATGAATATTTGTGATTTACCGAGAGAGAGAGAGAGAGAGAGAGAGAGAGAGTGTGAGAGAGAAAAAGTGGCAGAGAGAACCAGAGAAGATGGACGCGCGCGCAAGAGTAAAGGTCGAAGATGGGGCGCATGCAAGGTATGTTTTCTTAAAGTTATTTTCGTTTAAACGTAATTCTTTTCCATTTATTATAAAGGTATATTATATCATACAATTGACGCAATGTTATTCGGTTCGAAAGTATCGCTCCTGTGGCGTAAAATAGCGTACCATCATCGCAT